GGAGATTTATACGGAATTTTAGCGGAATCGCCCGTCTACTTATAGCACTTACGCGGAAAGACGTTAAATTTGAATAGTTACCGGCCTATTAAGAAGCCTTCGACTAATTACGGCAAAGTTTTACGACCGTACCGATCCTATAGTACTTCGACTTCGATAAAGAAACGCGCCTAGAAACTAATACTTCCGACGGTATAACTAGCGCCGTTCTCCTTTAACGAACGACCCCGGAAGATGCGTAGCTGCCTATAGCCTACCTCTCTAAGAAAATATCCTCCGCGGAATACAATTACGATATCTACGATAAGGAGCTCCTCGCAATCGTTAAGGCTTTCGAAGAATAGCGTCCGGAACTCGAAGGTTCTAAGTTACCGATCTAGGTTAGCTCGGATTACAAGAACCTTATCTACTTTCTTAAGAGCAAAATCCTTAGCCGTAGGTAGGTACGCTAGAGTAAGTTTCTTTCCCGGTTTAACTTCGTTATTTAGTATACGCCCGGTAAAGCAAACTTATAGGCCGACGTACTTACGAGGCGTAACGGAGACTCGCCTTTAGATCGAGGTCCGTAGCGTAAAGAACAGTCTATCCTTAAGGAGTACAACCTTAGCTAGGAACTATACGAGCTCCTCGGAGACGACTTTACCGGCCTAGAGCCTCTTATAGCATCCTTTATACTAATAGCCGCTCCTGCCTTTCTTAGAGACGACGATAGCTCAGACGACGAAGATACGAGTTTAGAAAGCTTAGATAGCGACTAGGAAAGCGAAGAGGAAGTATAGGACCTCCTCGAACCTACCTAGCTCGAATAGTAGCTTACGACAGCATACGCCGAAGACGCTTTTACTAAAGGTCTAATTCAAGCTTTATAGAACGAGGAGCGGTTATACGAGAACGTTTCTCTCTCGGAGTACGAGCTCCGTAGAACTCTACCGCGAGCACCCTGTATAATATTTAGAAATACCCTCTACGTCCCGGACTTCGAAGATTTACGCGACTAGATTATGCGTTCCGCTTATAACCCTCTCGGAATAGCACATCCCGGTCGAGCTAAGATATTGTCTTAGCTCCGGAAGTAGTACTACTAGCCTAATCTATACTAAGATATCGACCGATTCGTTAAGAACTACGTAGTATACCGTAGGGCGAAAGTAGATACGCGTAAGCCGCAAGGGCTGCTAAAACCTCTTAAAGTCCCTCTACGACTATAGTAACATATTTTAATAGATTTTATTATAGGCCTACCGAAAGGATCCGATTTTAACGGCCTCTAGTTTCAAAATATGCTAGTCGTAGTTTGCCGCCTTACGAAACGCAAGAAGGTATTAAATGCCCGCAGCCTAACTGCAAAGAATATAGCTTAAGTCTTCTACCGGGACGTATAGAAAGATATAGGCCTACCTAAATCAATTGTATCTAATCGCGGCCCGAATTTCGTTACCCGTTTCTAGAAGCGCCTCTACGAACGATTGAAAATTTAAGCGCGCCTTTTAACGGCTTACTACCCGCAGACCGACGGGTAAACCGAACGGGCTAACGCGCAGATCGAGCAAATTATTAGGTGCTTCTACAATTACTACTAAAACGACTAGCTAAGATTAACGCCTTCTATTGAATTTGCTATTAACAATTGGGAGTCGGCTACAACTCAGACTACGCCGTTCTACGCCTTTACTAGATTTTACCCTCGAACCGGTATAGAACCGATAGAGATCGAACTAGAGCCCCCGGTAAACGATCCGGAAAGAGACGCCGATACCTTCGCTCTTTAAATAGCCTAGACCTACTAAGAGCTCTAGGACGAGATAAGGTATGCCTAAGAAGTATACGAGCACTATGCTAATTAGCGTAGACGCGCCGCGCTAGATTACTAGGTCGGAGATTATATCTACCTCGACTTACGATATATTAGAACTAACCGACCTTCGAAAAAGCTCGACTAGAAAAATCTAGGACCCTTCCGAATTATAAAGAAAATCGGCATATACGTATACGAACTAGATCTCCTAGAAAATCTCAATATTTACCCGGTTAAACACGTTGTTAATCTAAGAACCGCCGGAGAAATCGCGGACTCCGAAGACATCCCGCCGATACCGGAAGCTACCGAGGCTACCGATTAGGCCGAAGACGAGCCGGAATCTGCCTTAGGTATAGTACGGGCGATTATCGGATAGAGCTTTAGTAATACAAATTTCGGAAATCTCAACCCTCTTAGGCCGTAGGGAGAGGTACAATAGGAGGGGTACTTAGACGAGGATACGACCTAGGAACCTCTACGCTATATTATCTTCGCCCGCGAAGCAATCGAGGAATTCCTATAAGACTACACCGACTATACGACAATAGAAGGAGCTATCCCGGAACATTTTCTCCGAGAAGCGTACGAATAGAATTTAGATTAAGGTCTCCGACCCGAACTAGGATAAGAATACTAGTACCTATTATATACGGACCTCCTTTAGCGTCGTAGGAACTTCGCGTAGAACGAGGGGGGGGCTACTATTATAGTAGCTGCCTAGAAAGCACCGACAAGTCCTATAAGCTAGCCGCTATACTATAAAGTAATATCGGATTTAAGTTGCCTTAGTAGTAGGGGCCCCTAGCGAAGCAGGTCGCCTAGTTAGCCTAGGTCGCCTAGTACGCCTAGTACGCCTAGTACGCCTAGTACGCCTAGTACGCCTAGTACGCCTAGTACGCCTAGTACGCCTAGTACGCCTAGGTCGCCTACTTAGCCGTATAACGTAATATCTTAGGGACTCCCGCGGAGGCCGTATATAGCAGAACAATACGTTATATATTAACATACGAACGACGGGACTGCACTAAACTACGCGCACGTATATACGGACGATAGCAAGCGAGATATATAGAGTCGTAGGACAGATCCGAGTAGTAGGAAGGAACCGGAAGGTAGGGAAGAGCTAGGAGAAACATATTTACTTAAGAGCGGTTAAACGAGTTCGCGTACGCGCGCTACGCTAGTTAGCTAGGAGACAAAGGCGCTGCGAGATAGCGGACAAGTAGGATATACGTACTTACGCTTACGCGTCGGACGCGCTAGACGGCTGTAGGGCGGAATACTAAGGAAGGGGCTCTCCCTCTAAGGCACCCTTCTTCCTTTCTTTGCAGTTCGTCTTATGTAGATAGTAGCTATATTAATTTAGTGCTCCCTTTAGTTTAGTTTAAAGTTTCGTATACATTCTTACTACTTAGCTACTAACCCTTATAAGACCTACTATAACGACTTTATAATAGTTAGATTCTTCTCGTTTATATCCTCCGCCTTCTTATAAACCCGATCGGCCTCCTTTTATATCTTCTTTTAATACTTTTCCGCCGCCTTAGTAGCGCGTAATACTATTAATTGCTCTTTCGTAAAGGGCGCGGAAGCCGCGCCTTCCGCTATAACCTTAACCTCCGATTCTTTACCCTTACTACCCTTATCCTCGCTTTCTTTACCGAGAGCCTCGTTAGTCGCTATATAATCGCCTATAGCTACCTCTAAGCCGATTAATTCGTCTATAATATCGAAGTACTCTAGCAATTTATTATAGAAGGAAGTATACCTTAGATTCTCGTCGAAATAGGCGTCTTCTACGTCCGACTCGGCGGTTAGAGGCATACTATTCTAGCTACTTATATACTTTAGGTAAGTAATCTATATACTCTAGTCCTTCTTAATTAACGACTACTTATTCTTTACTATTTAGATAGTCTATAGTACGCTCGGTACTATATTTCTTATTTATTAACGTAGCTAGGTCTCGGAGGTTACCTAACTAGAAGTTATTAGTATTAGTGCTACGGCTAATCTTCTTAAACTCGTTTAACTAGTCGAGGAAGTACTCGGTCTGCTCTTAAGTCTACTATTGTAGCGCTTTACGCTACCTATCTTTATTAATAGGTATTATAGTCGCTATACGCTTCCGAGTCGCCTTTGCCTTTAAAGAAGGTATCTTTAATAAAGCCTAAGAGGGCTAAGAATCCGTCGATTAAGAGACTATATTTGCTAGTATTCGAATAGCTTTAAACTAAGAGACTAGCTACTCGACTAACTATATATTTATATAGTAACTATACTATAAACTATACTCGCCGAAGCACTCGTCCTCTCTGCCCTTCGCCCGCCGATTTACTACCTACTACGCCGTTATCGATATTATTATAAATACTACTAGAAGCTATATAGCCTACTATAAAGAGGTAGAGTATAGCTACCGAGCCGGAGGCTTATTATATAGATCTTAATACCTAGCACTGTCTTATAGATAACCGATTATAAGTCGCTATAATCTAAGCCGCTTATAAGGTTATTATAATCTCTTAGTTTACGCTATAACCTATTATAAGTAGATAGGGCCTAAGCGCGAGCGAGTACGATAGACGCTTGGGTCTACACGGCATTATGTCAGATGCTCCCAGTGAATTTGGGTGTGCCAGCACTAATAAAAGCACTATTATTACCAGCGAGACGCCATTTTCGATGTAAGAATGAGTAGGCACAGGTAGTCAGGTACAGGTACAGACAGGTGGCGCGTGCAGGGATTGCATTGCACCTCAGCCTTCACGCCAGCGCCGCGCCCGCCAGCCATTCTGCCCGGTCTTGCTCTTGCTCTTGCTCTTGCTCTTGCTCTTGCTCTTGCTCTTGCTCTTGCTCTTGCTCTTGCTCTCGCTCTTGCTTCTCCACCTTGTCCTTTTGTCAGTCGTTATACCATCGTTCGCTGCCTGAATAGCCTGCCTTGGAAATACGGCACGAGCGCCTCAACCGTGGTACCAGCGCTCGACCGCTTAGCGAAACGTCCAATCTCTCCATTTGCCTCGTGACTTCTCGCACTCGCACTCCTGCTTTCATTTCGATCGATCGCGACTGCCACTGCCACTGCCTGCTTCACTTCACGCCTCTGCCTCGCGAGCCACCCGACCCTCGTTATCCTCGCTACCCGCACTCTGCGCTGCTCCCACCGCTCCAGGAGGCCGCCTGGCCGACTAAAATACACAGTATGGCCTCCGCGCCCACTAATCAGCAGAATCTGGCCGGCTTGCCTGCCCATTCCATGAGCGATACCAATATCACATCTCACATTGCATCGCGCTTTCACAGCCATCTACCCATTACCACCTTATCGTCGCAAGGCTACATCTCCGTGAATACATACACATCATCTGCCAAGGGTCCAAATGGCGGAAAGGAGGGAAGCGCTATGGGCGCTGCAGAAGAGCTTGCGAGCCGAATGTGGACGAGACTGGGAAGTAGGCAAGAAAACCAGGCTGCTGTCTTCCTGTGAGTCTCGCCGAGTATACATGAATATCGCTTGAATGCTAACGTGATTCGCGCGCGCGCAGTGGCGAGTCTGGCACAGGCAAGACCACAATAAGGTCCCACCTGCTCTCGTCCCTCCTCCAATATTCCTCCACTCCCTTATCCAAGAAGCTGTCTTTCGCCGCCTTCGTCTTCGACACCCTCACCACTACCAAGTCGGTCACAACACCAACTGCATCAAAGGCTGGCTTGTTCTTCGAACTGCAGTATGACACCACGTCCTCATTACACCCCACGCTTATTGGCGGCAAAGTGCTGGATCACAGACTGGAACGAAGCCGTGTGGCCTCCGTTCCCCCCGGCGAGCGAAATTTCCACGTCCTGTACTACCTCCTTGCCGGTACTTCGCCAGCAGAGAAGGAGCACCTCGGCCTAGAGCTGGGATCTCATTCTGGAGTGGCCAACAGAACCTCCATGGGAAGCAGCGCGAAGCGATGGCGCTATCTGGGTCATCCATCCCAGCTGAAGGTCGGCATCAATGATGCCGAGGGATTCCAGCACTTCAAGACCGCACTGAGGAAGCTTGAATTCCCTAGGGAGGAGATTGCACATCTTTGCGAGATTCTGGCCGCCATCTTGCACATTGGTCAGCTCGAGTTCATGACATCTCAGGCAACCACACCAGCTCCCGATGAGAGTGGCGGCTACGGCGCAGAAGGTGGCGAGGAGATTACAGTGGTCAAGAACAAGGAAACTTTGGCTGCAGTCGCGGCCTTCTTGGGAGTCAGCGACAAGGTGCTTGAACAGTCACTGGGATACCGCACCAAGATTCTTCACCGCGAACGTGTCACAATCATGTTGGATCCGAAGGGCGCCCGCGAAAACGCCGACGAGCTTGCCCGAACGCTGTACAGTCTTCTGGTTGCTCTTGTCATGGAGAAAATAAACCAGAAGACCTGCGCGATCGAGGAGTCGGTTGCCAACACGATTGCCATCGTGGACTTCCCAGGTTTCGCGCAGACCTCTTCTACGGGCAGCGTGCTTGATCAGCTGCTCAACAATGCGGCCAACGAATCCTTGTACAACTTCTGTCTGCAAAGCTTCTTCGAACGGAAAGCCGATCTCTTGGAGACGGAAGAAGTGCAAGTTCCAGCCACAAGCTACTTTGATAATGTAGATGCCGTCAAGGGTCTGCTCAAGTCCGGCAACGGTTTGCTCAGTATACTGGATGATCAAATGAGACGCGGTCGGACAGATCTGCAGCTGCTGGAGTCGCTGCGCAAGCGTTTCGAAGGGAAGAACCCAGCCATTGAGGTCGGAAGCTCGACTATTACCCTGCCTGGCAACAACTTCGCAACCCCCAATGCTTCAGCGGGCTTCACCGTGAAGCACTTTGCTGGTGAAGTGGAGTACCCCGTCGGAGGCCTTCTCGAGGAGAATGGCGAAGTCATCTCGGGCGACCTGATGAACCTTGTTAACTCCTCGACGAGTCCCTTCGTAGCCGAGCTTTTCGGTCAGGAAGCGCTCAACAAGGTCGTGCATCCAAGGGACCGCAACGCCGTAACCCAGGCTTCAGTGGCATCGAAACCATCTCGCATGCCCAGCATGGCAAAGCGAAAAGGCGGACGCCCTCAAAGACCGCAGCGCGGTGTCTTCGATGACGACGCAGACAAGAGCAGCGACGAGGGAACGAAGAGCTTTTCTCGTCTCCCCAAACCTGGCCTCGATGCGCAGCAAGGAGCCGCCGCGCAATTCCTCTCATCCTTGGAGAACATCACCAAATCACTCACCGCATCCAACACCAACTCGTATTTCTTCTTCTGTTTGAAGCCGAATGACAGACGTATCGCAAACCAATTCGACAGCAAATGCGTCCGCACCCAGATTCAGACTCTTGGAATCGCTGAAATTTGCCAGCGACTCAAGAATGCCGACTTCAGCATATTTATGCCTTTCGGTGAATTCCTCGGTACTGCCGAGGGCGAAGTATCTGTCGTGGGCACCGAGAGGGAGAAATCCGAGATGATATTGGATGACAAGAACTGGCCAAGTAATGAAGCCAGGGTCGGAAGCACAGGTGTGTTCCTGAGCGAGCGATGCTGGCGACAGATCACAAGTGCTCCTGAGCTAGGAGAAATTCCAGTTCCACTCGGCGATGATGGATACGGTAATTCTGGTATGCTGACGCCAATTGATGCGAAGAGAGCATTTGGCGACTCAAAAGTTCAGCTTTTGCAGACTCCAGGATCGGGATACCTCGACGACAAGGCCGCTGGATATTTTGGAAGCAGAGACCTCGATGCTAAGAGTGAGGCTGGTGCTTCAGCTTTCCGTGAAGGCGACATGTTCCGCAACCTCGAAACCCGGTCCCAAATGCTCGAGAAAGGGAACGAAATCAAGGCTGCCGCGATCGAAGAGAAGCCACTATCTGGCAGCCGTGTCAGATGGCTGATCCTCGTGTACGTTCTCACTTGGTGGGTCCCCGATTTCGCTATCAGGTATATCGGTCGTATGCCTAGAAAGGATGTCCGTATGGCCTGGAGAGAAAAGCTGGCCATCAATCTGATCATTTGGCTCTCTTGTGCATTTGTGGTCTTCTTCATGGTTGGCTTTCCTCGGATCATCTGCCCCACACAGCACGTCTACAGTCTGGAAGAGCTCTCGTCGTATAACGGCAAAAATGGCAAGACGGCCTACATTGCTATCCGTGGGGTTGTCTTCGACCTCAGCGCTTTCATACCCACTCACTACCCTTCGATCGTACCGGCCTCCGCTCTCAAGAAATACGCCGGAACAGATTCGACCAATCTCTTTCCTGTACAGGTATCTGCCATGTGTCAGGGCCGCAACGAATCTGGTATCGATCCCGCCGTGCAGCTAAGCTACGTGACATACAACTACAGCGGTTCCACAAATGCGATTAGTGCCACGGACAACAATGCGCAGTACCATGACTTCCGATGGGCTACAAATGATTCTCGACCGGCTTGGTTTATCGAGCAGATGATCTTCCTCCAAGGCCACTATTGGAAGGGCAATGTCGGCTACTCTCCTCAGTACCTGAAGACCCTGGCGGACAAGTCGAACTACGTAGCCCACATCAATGGTCGCGTCTATGATTTCACCGACTACATAGCGGGCGGCCGAGCTCCCCAGTATCCTCCAGGCGTCGACAGACCCAGCACTCCGCCCAACTCGAACTTCATGGATGACACGGTGGTCGATCTGTTCCAGCAGCGATCCGGACAAGACGTCACAAAGTACTGGGAGGCCTTGAAGCTGGATGCGGGTCTCCGAGCACGTATGCAGACGTGCATGGATAATCTCTTCTACGTGGGCAACGTGGACACTCGAAGCAGTCCGCAGTGCCAGTTCGCCAAGTACATCTTGCTTGCAATTTCGCTGCTACTGGTATCTGTGATATGCTTCAAGTTTTTGGCTGCCCTGCAATTCGGAAAGAAGAATGTGCCCGAAAACCTCGACAAGTTTATTATCTGCACGGTCCCGGCCTACACGGAAGACGAAGACTCGCTTCGACGTGCAATAGATTCTGCAGCTCGAATGCGGTACGATGATAAGCGCAAACTACTCTTCGTCGTTTGCGATGGCATGATCATCGGTCAGGGCAACGACCGCCCCACACCTCGCATCGTTCTCGACATTCTGGGCGTTCCTGAGACCATCGACCCCGAGCCGCTCAGCTTTGAGTCTCTTGGAGAGGGTCTCAAGCAACACAATATGGGCAAGGTCTACTCCGGACTTTACGAAGCGCAAGGCCATATCGTGCCATTCATTGTCATCGTCAAGGTTGGCAAGCCGTCTGAGGTATCAAGACCTGGTAACCGAGGCAAGCGCGACTCCCAGATGATTCTGATGCGCTTCCTGAACCGTGTCCACTACAACATGCCCATGACGCCGCTCGAGCTGGAGATGCACCATCAGATTCGGAACGTGATCGGAGTGAATCCGACCTTCTACGAATTCTTGCTGCAAATCGATGCAGATACAGTCGTGGCTCCCGATTCAGCGACGCGCTTCGTCTCGGCGTTTGTGAACGACACCAAGCTCATCGCTGTCTGCGGTGAGACAGCACTTACCAACGCGAAGGCATCCATGATCACCATGATGCAAGTCTACGAATACTACATTTCACACAATCTCACCAAGGCCTTCGAATCTCTCTTCGGATCCGTAACTTGTCTGCCAGGTTGTTTCTCGATGTACCGAATCCGTGCTGCGGAAACTGGAAAGCCACTCTTCGTCTCTCGCGAGATCGTGAATGACTACTCCGAAGTTCGCGTCGACACACTCCACATGAAGAACCTTCTGCACCTTGGAGAGGACAGATATCTGACGACTCTGCTTATGAAGTACCACTCCAAGTACAAGACGAAGTATATCATGCGTGCTCATGCCTGGACGATCGCACCTGACAGCTGGGCTGTGTTCATGTCGCAACGTCGACGATGGATCAACTCTACCGTGCACAACTTGATCGAGGTCATCCCGCTCTCACAACTCTGCGGTTTCTGCTGTTTCAGTATGAGATTCGTCGTTTTCCTGGATCTGCTCTCGACCATTGTCCAGCCGGTCATCGTCGGCTACATTATCTATCTGATTGTGGAGGTGGCGAGAAACCCAAGTACTGTTCCGATCACCGCTTTCATTCTCCTGGGTGCCATCTACGGTCTCCAAGCGATCATTTTCATCTTGCGCCGCAAATGGGAAATGGTGGGCTGGATGATCATCTACATGCTTGCTACCCCAGTCTTCTCCTTCTTTCTGCCACTTATTGCGTTCTGGCACATGGACGACTTCTCTTGGGGTAACACACGTATGGTCACTGGCGAGAAAGGAAAGCAGGTCATTGTTAGCGACGAAGGCAAGTTCGACCCAGACAGCATTCCCAAGAAGAAGTGGGAAGAGTACCAGGCCGAGCTATGGGATGCACAGACACAACGGGACGACACTCGCTCCGAGATCTCTGGCATCAGCTATGCTACCAAGAGCTGGCATCCTGCTGCGTCTGAATATGGTTACCAGCAGGCCACGCATCATATGAGCCAACTCACTGTGCCACAGATGTATTCCAATGCATCGCGCATGTCGCTGGCATACTCTGATAATGGCATGGGCATGGGCAAGGGCATGCCACGGGCGCTCTCTGCAACTGATATCGACATGGCGGATCTCCCTAGTGATGATGCCATCCTGGCCGAGATCCGACAGATCCTCAGCACTGCGGATCTCATGAGTGTTACGAAGAAGAGCATCAAGGCAGAATTGGAGAGGAGGTTCGGTGTCAGCATGGATGCCAAACGCCAGTACATTGGCAGCGCGACTGAGGCCATTCTCAGTGGACAACTATAATTGCATTGTCTTGTCTAGCAAGCAAGAGTGGCGGCGTTTATCACGAACGTACTTGCATGATTTGACTTTTGTGGAATCTGAGATGATCGCATTTACTGGAGTGGGATATATGGGAAGGGGAAAGGTGGTTTGAAAGGCGCAAACGAAAACTGCTCATCAGTAATGCAAATGACTACATCAACCAGAGATGAACTGCGGCTACTATTGTTAGTGTGTGTGTGTGTGTGTGTGTGTGTGTGTGGAAAAGGAAAAAAAGTGAGAAGAGGACGTCATGTCATGTACAGCAAACAAAAAATCATCAAACGAATAGTAGTAATCTTTCTTCAGAAGAAAGCCTTTTCCATCGCCGTGCTTCTTCCTTCAATACCTTCATCACCTCGCCAAAAACCCTCCATCCACAGGCATATTCACCCCCGTCATCCACTGCGCATCATCACTCGCCAAAAACACATACGCCTTCGCAACATCCTCCGGCCTCCCCATGCCGCGAAACGGATGCAAAGCCTCCACCTGCCCCCTCACCCCCTCATCCCCAAAAATCACATCCGTCATATGCGTCGCCACATACCCGGGATTCACCGCATTCACATGCACCCTCCACGGCGCACAATCCAACGCCGCCGCTCGCGTCAAATTCGCCACGGCACCTTTCGATGTACAGTATGCCGGTGCGGAAGCCGTCCCCACGAGGCCGTAGACTGACGCGGCGTTTAATATCCAGCCTCTATCGCCGCTTGCCAGCGGGGTTTGGGTGATCATTTGCGCGGAGGCGAATTTCGTGCCGTAAAAGACTCCGTGGACGTTGGCGTTTATTGTTTGCTGGTAGGTTTCGATGGGGGTTTCCCAGATGGGTGCTGGAGTGCGGGATTCGAGGGCGAAGCCGGCGTTGTTGACCTGTGTGTGTGTGTGTTTTTTTTTTAGTATATGTGTTTAGGGAAAGAAAAAAAATAAATAAATCTCTTGATTTTGGTGTTTGGGATTGGGGAATTTACCATGATATCCAACCTCCCAAACTCCTGCACGGCAGTTTTGATCAAAGCTTGCATTTGATCGGGATCTGTGACGTCTGTTTTTACGAAAATCGCTTTGCCGCCGCGGGAGTTGATTCTTTCGTGTGTTGGGCCATTCATTTCGTCTTCGGGGGGTGAGTCGGTGCGCCAACTGCCTTCTTGCAGGTCGGAACAGACGATTTTTGCGCCTTCGGATGACATGGCGAAGGCTGTTGCTCGGCCTATGCCGGAGGAGGAGCCGGTTATGATGGCTATGCGGTCTTGGAGGCGGCCGGGCATGGTGATGGGTTGGTTTGCTGAGGTATGTTTGCTGTTTCTTGAGCTTGGATGGAGAGGAATGTTGAAGTGTAGCAATACTAAAGATGACAGGAGGAAGAGAAAGTAAAATAGCTTACTTTTACCTTGTGCACTGCACCAGCAACTGACAGAGATGGCCTGAGTCGAGGAGCTATGCGGTCCCGCTTTACAGTTTCCTTGTTCACTACCCGGGACCATTCTGCTTTGGTGCGGCAATCGTTGCAATTGCTACCATAACCGAACGGTGCCTTGTTGGTCGCAGGTATTAGGCGGCACAAGTGGAAGTCGAAGTGGGGTGAAGTCGAGCTTCCGATGCTCTCGTCCTCGGCCCCGGGCGACTCTGCAAACACTGAACTTTTATCCAAGACGCGTACGGCTGGCAGAATAATCCACGATCACACGTGATTTCGTCAAATACCGGTGAGGTGAGGTGAGGTGAGGTGAGGTGCGATGACCTCCAGTATAGTGCGTCTGCTTGCTATACTGTCGAGCCTCGATCTGCACGTACGATCACTCCTCCATGATGCTGCATCGCTGAACAACATCGATCGGGGCTGCGTCAGTGATGTGTTCAAGCATCATGCAACATCGCTGCCGCTGCCGCTGCTTCTGTACACATTTCAATAAGCGTGGTGTATCCAAGTCTATACCCGAACCTCTGCGAACGCCGCGCTGTTTCAAAAAGAACGCCCACTTGTGCTGTGTTCTCGTTAATCATCATCATCATCTCTTTGTCTCCTGAATCTTCACATCGGCGATTTTCTCAGAAGCACCTTGCAGCTCCTGCTTCTCCTCAATCAATTCATGCTTCGATTTTATATCCTTCTCGACCTGCTCCACTGCTCTTTCTATCTCAATCTCCATTCCAGGAAGTTTGAAGCCTTCTGCAAGCAGTTTGCCATTCCATTTCTGAAGAAGCATGGCATCTTCCCTGCCCCCTTCCGTTTGTGTTTCGACAATCTTCGCAATCTGCTCGATCTCATCGCGGGTGGGCACTGTAGCTTCGCGGGTAGCTTCTCGCGATGGCGAAATGAGTCCGACGGCGTACATCTCGTCCATCTTTGCTGATGCCACAGTGTTGATGTGATTGTGCGCGGTCAAGTGCTCTAGCATCTTGCCTCCATATAAAGCTTTGTAGTGCGACCAAGCACGGAATACAAGGTAGAAAAATGGAATGTTAGGTATCCTAAGACACATGTCAGCGTGCTCGTCATCAGCGGCAAGGTCCTGTCGTGGCTGCGACTGTCTTACACTGGCACGAGGGCGAATGGAATGGTGAACGGAGCGCAGATTATACACTGCCACATGCGCTTCCTATGCAAAGCCTGTCGCTCGGTAGCTAGTCTTTGCAAGAGTGCCAATACCTTGCTCTCCTTCAGAAATGCGCCTGGGAAGTAGCAGTCGACCTTCAATTTGCCATTGTCGACGTCTTGCAGACGCTTCTTGGTGGCCGGCGGGATTGTTTTGAGGCCCCATTCTTCAAAGGGGATGCGCTTGAAGATTTGGTTGCCGTAGACTGTGAGCTTCTTCTGCCAACCCTTGTCCGCCCTTTCCCATGCAGCCCAGGTGGTCGAGGCTTTGTTGATTATGCGCTCTTGCAAAGGTGGCTTGGTGGGCGAGAGGTGTTCTTGGATGCGCTCGCAATAGATGAGAGTGCGCCGCGTCGACACGGGAAGTAGGAAAAGGCGCATAGTGATGCTTCCTCGAAAGGGCGATGCCAGTGGGCGGAAAAGAATGTACAGGAATTTACTACGACATTGTTGCTGGCCGCTTTTATTAGCCTTGTGTACGTCTATGTTGGCTATCAATGAACGGCTGGCTACCAAGCACGTGCAGCTAGGAAGGCAGAACAACCTTTTTTTGCCCGCCCAGGAAGTTGGAAGCTCGAGATGCTTCTGGCATGCTTCCCAGAGCCGCATTCTTGCCAACTTCAGTCTTCAGCGTGAGCAGTGAAAGTCGCCCTCCTGTAAGTGCAGTATTGCGTCTGCTTGCCACGAAAACGGCTGTATGTGAGCCTTTCCTTCCGCATCACCGCACGTCCAATGTCTATCAAACAAGCCTATCCAGATTCTTGCTCCGTAGGCTACGTACAGTAGCTATGATTATCCCGAGCCCCGTTCGCCGGTTCGTAAGACTGATACATCTAGGGGTGCTGTTAATAACACTTTGTCGGTCAATAGCAACGTTAGCATTATACTAACGGTTAGCAACCTATTTATAATAATATCTATATCTAAGGCCTCTATATAGACCTTATCTTATACTAGCTAGAAGTAAGCGAACGCCTTAGATACTAGTATAGTGTATTTCCTACGCCTTTAGAGGCCTATTCCTTTATAGATCTACCTCTTAAGATTAGAAGGAGCTTAATTAAGTATAATTTAGCGTAGAAGGTACTTATATAGGTCTTCCGAGATATTATTATAGTAATATTACTAGAGATACTATATCGCTTAGGGTAGCCTAGTAACTAGCAATCGTAGGGTTATAGTTAGAGGTATTGCTACTAATATAGTCTAATCTATCTATAAACCGGATAGTTCGATAGCTATTATTAAGAGAGAATTATTATCGTTCTTCCTACCTATTTTACCTATTAGATTCTCCGTTTTCCGTATTTCTAGTAATTCTACGAATCTTAGAATTCTAACTTTTAAGATGCCTCTACTAAAGTACTTAGATAAACTTAACTTCTCCTATATTAAGACCGACTTTATAGGCAAATTTATACGCTATATCTAGTATAAGAGTAAGAAAGGAATAGTACTAGAGGGAAGCCTATCGCGTAAGTAGAAGCACCTAAAGAAGTATTAGTAGTATTTAGACTATATAAGGTCTTACTAATCTAATAATAAAGCCGACCTACTACTACGTAAGAAGTAACGTACACTTCTATTTAGTATCGCTAAGCCTAAGTAGGTACGCGACCTAGCTATTATTAAGGCTATTTTATATAGTAGGAGACTATTTAATAAAGTAGACGCGAGATTCTACCCCGAATAGCGCAAGGCCTTATATACCTTCGACGCTAATTATAACCCTCCGAGTTACGATAAAGTAATAGATTATATTAATAAGGTACGCCGGCGAGCGGAAGTTAAAAAGAATATATAAGCGGTATTTAATATGCTTTAAGACCTTAACTTTAGCGCCGACGAGAGTAAAAGTCGTAGTAGTACTAGCTTCTATAATCTATTAGCGAATATAGTATCTAGCTCGTTCTTCTATAACCTACTAGATATAAAGAACTTTAACGCTAACGCTATAGCCCTCGCGAGGCAGATAACTAAGCAGGTAGCGCCCTTTATTAATAGCGACCTTAAGCGCTAGAATTCTCTCTAAACCGATACCTACGCGATAATAAGAGCGCTCTACGACCGACTTACTAATAATCTACTTACTAAGTATATAATCTATATATTCTACGACTCGTACGGTATATAGCTATATATTAGCGACTAGGATAATAATTAGAAGGACTCGTACCTACCGTTCTATAGCGATACGCTCTACGAAGCGGTATATATACTTAACTTATTTAAGAGGTCGAAGAAGGCTTAGAATATTCTTAAGGCTTTTGCTAAGAATATTAAGGCTATCTTAAGGGCATTTGCTTTCGCCTATCTATAAGAAGGGTATATTAGCAGGTAGATAGGGTAGTAGTAGATACGAGTAGTATTCGATAAAGAGCTAGTAAGAGAGGGAGGAAGGCGGGCAAGTTAGCCTATTACTAAGCGCCAAGCCCTGCCTAAGGCACTAAGACCCTAGCTTTACTCGGCCTAGTTATATACTAATTACGTATAACCTCTTTAGTCCTAATACTATCTTACTTACTAGGGTTTATACTATACTATAATATATAGTCTATTCGTAGCAATAGCCTACCTTTAAGACTATACGAGGATTATAGCTTAAGGGCTATTTAGAGGCTCGAATAGTCGCCTAATAAAGGGGGCTTCTACTACTCTTAAGACTATTAATTTACCTCTATTCTAGAGCCGCCTATAGAGCCTTTATATACTCTTTTAGCTTATTAGCAAAGCACGACTTATTAGTAAGAGCGATACCTTAAAGGTTAGTAATATCGTATCTCGCTAATAGTAACTACGCCGTTTAACTTAGTATATAATATTCTACCTCTGTTAGGACTAAAGAGGTTATACGTAATTGCGTAATTAGTATATAACCGGGCTCGAGTAAAGCTAGGGTCTCGATGCCTTAGGTAGGGCTTAGCGCTTAGTAATAGGCTAACTTGCCTACCTTCCTCCCTCTTCTCCTAGCTCCTTATCGAATACTACTCGTACCTACTACTACCCTATCTACCTACTAATATAACCCTTCTTATATAGTATTCGATCTACCCTTTAAGGGTAGTAGCTAGATAGTCCTTATTTCAAGCTTTTAGCGGTATAGCTACGAAAACTATCGATTTAACTATATTACGCCCGAAGAACGGGATCTATACGTACTACTCTACTAAAACAACCGTAATAATTATTAAGCAAGGCCTTCTATATAGCCTATTATACTAAGTTAATTGTACTAGACCGATACTCGCTAATTCCGCTACGTCCGTACTATAGGGGCCTATAATATATTATTAGTATTACCCCTTATTATAATAGCCGGTTTATTACGAAGCAATAATAACCGTACTACCGCTAGTAGCGCTAGTAACGATAACGCTAGTAGTATAGTACCTACTAAAGTGCCTATTAAAGTGCCTACTAAAGCACCTACTAAAGTGCCTCCTACTAAAGAGCCTACTAGAGGGCCTACCGAAGAACCTATAATCGAAGGGGATAACCCCTCGTTGCCTATTAACGATATTCTTAGCAATATTATTAACCGTCGATATAGCTAACTAGCCTTTAGCCCTTAACTATTAGGGAGACTTTAAGAAGCTACCTAAAACAGGCTTACTGCCCTACGTTAAGAATAGTAGCTAAAGGATAACCTCCTCGAGCTCCGTCGCCTTTAGGAAGCCCTAACGACTACTACTAAACCTATAGTAGGACCTTCTTTACTACCTATCTAAAAGAAGGATGCTAAACTTAAGGACTATACCGTATTTAACGGCTCTAGTCGTAAGCAATATAATAACTATATACGTAATTGCGAGCTTAACTAACGAAATATACCGAGGGCTCTTCTAGACGACTATTTATTAGTTGTCTACGCTATATAGTACATTAATAGCGACCTAAAGCGTATATAGGATAACTATTTCGACTCCCTTAGTAACTAGACTGCTATTTAGTAGCAGACCTACAAAACTATTATACTAGATACCCTTAGAAACCCTATACTAAGGCAATAATATACTTAGGACCTATATCTTCGAGCTAAATAGAAGACTAATTAATTGGCTCGCTTATTTAAGGCCTATTTAAAGACCCTCGAGGATAACCTTCCGGCTAAGACTAATTCTATATAGATCTCGGAAATACGCCCTAAATTAAGATAGGAATTAGTCCTTAAATTAGACCGCCGCCGTATATTCGAATAAGCGAACCTAATACGCATTTAATTTATAGTCGAAGTAGAAACAGCCGAACGAGCTATCTAGCTCTAGTAACGACTATAATCGAGGATCCGACTAACTAGTACTAATCGTAGCAACTATAGCTACGGAGGAAACTAAGGTTCCTACTAGGACAATAATACTAATAATAGGAATAGTAACGACCGTAGAAGAGGCCGTAGCTAGCGGCTATATAGAGGAGGCCGTAATAGGGGCCGTAGAAGGGGCTCGTATCCCTATAATACTAATCGCTTAACTAATAATAGTAGTAATAGCGGCTATAGTAATCCCCCTACCGGATTCAAATGCTTTAACTATAATAGCACTAGCTACCTACTAGGCTAATATAACAAACCTAAGGACTAGGCCCGAATTAACCGTACTTCCGCTAAGTATAGGAAGTACCTTTTAGCCGCTAATACTACCCCTATCGGCTCTTTTAATTAGTTAAAAAAAGAATAAGCGCCGCACTAACTATTAGCCTTATACGGCGTAAGACTATTAACATTATACTAGCTATTATACGCACCTGTCTCGTATCGGACTCGTATAGCACTAATTATAAGACTAAGGTTATACTAGATCTAGGAAATTCAGTTAGTACCCTTATTAGCTATCGCCTAGCTAAGTAATTAGACCTTCGATAACTGCCTAGGACTAACCTACTAACCCTTGCTTAGTTTAATAACGCTCGGCACTTAACCTATAGAGCCTACTATATTTATATAGTTCTAAGAGACGACCTCGGTAACGAGCGCCTACTAGACTTTACTACCTACGTAGTAGATATAGACAACCTATATAGGGGAGCTACTATTATTATTAGCAACCCTATTCTTAAGTACTATGCTATCGCTATAGACTTAGGCAGTTAATAATAGCGATTTAGAATCGCTAGGAAAGAGGATATTAAGTATATCGACGTTAGCGAGTGTCCTAACGATATTAGGGTCCTATTTATTAGTAACCTAATACTAGTCTCTGCCTTAGCTAATCCGACTACCGACCTACTCGGTAGTAATAACGATAAACCTATGCCCCCCGATAGTATAGATCCTAATTAGCTTGCTCGCATACCTTAGCCTATTCGAGAGACCTATATTAATATATTTAAATACTACCTAGTATCGATATTACTTATATTTAAAGAGACGGATTACAAGATTAATATTATAGAGGGCAAAGAGGTCCCCTTTAGGCCCCTCTATAATCTTAGTAAGCGAGAGCTTGCTATATTGCGTAAGTACCTAGATAAGAACCTAGCTAATAGTCGAATTTAGTATAGTAATAGCCCTACTAGTGTACCTATCCTATTCGTACTAAAGAAGGATAGTAGCCTACGTCTATACGTTAACTATCGTAGGCTTAACGCTGTTACTATTAAAGACCGCTATCTACTTCCGCTTATTAATAAGACCCTCGATTGCCTTTCTAGCGCCTATTTCTATACTATATTAGACATTAAGGATACGTACTATCGTATCTATATTCGTAAGGGCGATAAATAGAAAACAGCCTTCTATACCTATTATAGCTATTTCGAGTACTTAGTTATACTATTCGGCTTAGCTAATACCCCTACTATATTCTAGTCCTATATTAATTAGGCCCTATTAGGCCTATTAGACTACCTCTATATAGTTTACCTAGATAACATCCTAGTTTATATCTATTTACCTAATATTGTAGAGTACTAGGCTATAGTACGTAAGGTCCTCGACCGCCTACGAGCCTATAGCCTATATTATAAGCCTTCTAAATGCACCTTTACTGCTAAGGAAGTAGCCTTCCTTAGCTTCCTCGTATTAACCGAGGGTATTAAGGCTAACCCTAACCGGATTAAAACAATTACTAAATAGCCTGTTCCTACGTCTATTAAAGAGCTTTAGTTATTCCTCGGTTTTGCTAACTTCTACCGCCGGTTTATTAAGGGCTATTCGAGGCATGTAATGCTATTAACTAAGCTTACTAAAACGAAGGCTAACCTAACTAGAGAGTTCAAATAGACTAATAGAGCATAAGCCGCTTAAACGGTCTAAAGCAACGCTTTACTAAAGTCCCCTTACTATACTATTTCGTACTAAGTAAACTAATTTGTATTAAGACTAACGCTTCGCAGTTTGCTGTCTCGGCTATTATATCTTAGCAGTCTAATAAAGACTATTATTAGTACCCGATTGCCTTCTTCTTAAGAAAGATAATTAGTGCTAAGCGTCGCTACGAAACCTACAAGTAAGAGCTCTTAGCTATTATAATTTATCGAGGCCTTTATGTATAAGAGGCACTACCTCGATAGGGCCTAATATACAATATAGGTCTATATAGACTATAACAACCTCCGTAGTATTACTAAGGTTACTAGGGTTATAGGTCGATAGGCTAGATAGGCCGTCTACCTCGCTAGGTTTAATTTTAATATATTATATCGGCTAGGCGTAAGTAACCCTACTAATAGCCTATCGAGACGACCTAATTACGATAGCGAGACCTAGTATATTAATTTATTGTTTCTAACCCTATAGTATAAGATTGCTATAGCCCGTATTATTAATAAGTAAGTGTAGGATAAGCGGACTTCCGAACCCCGCGGCGGTAATAAATACTATAGCGGAGTTGTCGTTCTTCTAGTACGCGTTAGAAAGGATATAGATCGCTCGAGCTATAATAACTCGCTTAAAGACATTGCTATCTATAGTAATAGCCTATATAGCGATAGTACTATAGAAGAGGTTATAGTAGTTCCGGCTACTAGTGCTATTAGATATATATAATACGTACCTCGTTTAATAGTAAGGGTACTGTTAAATAACCTTGTAAATAGGGATAGTTAATCGTTTATAGATAAGCTATTACGGGCTTAGTAGAGGGACGCCTTTACTATTAAACGTATTAATAGGCTTATAAGTAGGCGAGCGACTCGATCTAGTAAGAGTAATAACAATTAGTCGATCGACGATAAAGGTTACTTAAAGTTTAAGGGCAGATACTATATCCCCGCTAAACAATCGATTAGATAAGAGCTTTTAAAGCGATACTATAATAGTAAGCTTACTAGTTACTATAGTATAGAGAGGTCGTACGAGCTACTATCGCGTATATACTACTAGCCGAATAGTAAACGGTATATAAAAGAATACGTATAGACCTACGTAGTATACTAGCGTATTAAAGTACTAAAGTACCTACTATTTAGCGAGTTGTCTTTACTTCCTATTCCTAGGAAGCTATTCGTAGAGCTTATAATAGACTTTATTATAGGCCTTCTACCTACTAAGCGTAGGGGTAGTAAGGATATATATAATACTATCCTTATTATAGTAGATCGATTTATATTACGATCTTAGCGACTTGTATATAAAATTCGAGATTACGTAACTTAAGGTTACGTAATCTAAGTTACGTAATCTGAAGCCTACGGACTCCGCTAAGCGGCCTCTACTAAGCGGATAAAAGGCCCCTTCTACGGAAGAGCTTCTTCTTTCCTTCCTTAACTCGTTATTAATTTAGATAGCTATTTAATTAATATCTTAATAGAATAACGAGTTCCTTTATTACCTACGATAACGTCGTAGGTACTATTACGTACGCTTATATAAGGAATTACGCCGCCGGCGATCGCTATCGCCCTTCTACGCTCCCTATTATACGATAGTACTAACAGACCTATATACTAATCTATATTAGGTATAGTAAGCTACCCGACTATAGTAATACCGCCGATTCGCTATAGATCCTTTAAAACCGCCTACCGATCGCGGTAGCGGCTTAGAATATACGAATACGCCTAACTATATAGAAATAGCTAGGGCCCCGTTAAACGGTATACTAGAACTACTATAACTACCGTAAGGTCTACGACCTAGTCTCGCTAATATCGATAGCGTACTATAATAGCCGCTACCTAGTAGCCTCTAAGACTTCTATTAGTTCTTTAATAGAGTAAACGAGTAGGAGGCCGCTAAATATATCTTCTAGCGTATAACTAAGCTATATTAGTTAGTAGCTACACTTCGTTAGTAATACTAGTAAGAGGTAGAGATATTAGAATAGGTATAATAAGCTTATTATAAGACTAATACTTATCTTAATAGCGAGCTAGTATAGGCTCGGACTAAAGTAGAATACTAGCGTCGAGCCGCCGATTTAGTACGCAACTCCTTAGTTATTACGTAATAGTAGCGTAATAACCTAGCTTAGTAGGTCGCTCGCCTATAATAATAATAGTCTTCTATAGAAGATATCGCCCGACGAGCTAGTAAATAAGCCGCTCGCGCTCGTCGCGACGCTAAAGCGTCTTTATTATATAATCTAATCGGTCGAGGACCTATATTAGATAATAGCCGACTTCTATTCCGTCGACCTCTCGATCCCTTTATCTTTTGCGACTAACCTAAGCCTCTCCGACGTTCTCGATTTAACCGTAGTATCGACGATAATAATAACTATACTAGATATAGTAAAAGCGAGAAGTATCTAGACTCCGAGAAATACGATAGAGACCGTAAAAAGCTAAAGCCCTTCCTTACTAAGCTTACGATTAAGTTAATAATTAATAATAATCGCTTTCCGATACTATAAGACTAGTTAATATATATATATATAGTCGTACTACCGGCAAAGCCCGCTCGATAGTCTAGCTATACGTCCGTTACGATAAATAAGGCGTAATCGTAGATTTCGACGACCTCGATAACTTCTATAACCTATTAGTTAATACCTTCGGCGATCCTAATAAGGTCGCTACTACTAGTTATAAGCTAGACAACTTAAAGTAGAAAAATAAGGAGTTTACTTACTATCTTATAGAGTTTAATCGACTTAACGCCTTATTTAGTTATAAAAGCCGAGCTTAGGTTAACGCTCTTAAGCGTAGCTTGTCTTCCGAATTAAAAGTAGCGCTTAGTAATATATATAATAAGCCTACCGACTTCTTAGTATTATACCGACGACTAACTATTATCGATAATCGGCTCTACTAGTATCGCGTAGAAAGTAGCCGCGATAATACTAAGCTAGGATTAAGCAATACTACTAACTAAGGCTCGAATACTAACCGTAGTAATAATAATACTAGCGGCTCTAATAATTAGTACGCTCTATAAGGATATATCGCTCTACGTAATAACTAAGGGCAATTTACCTCGGCGAATAATAATAATAATAACCCTAGTACTACTACGACTACGACTATAACTATCCGCGATCTAGATACTATAGACCTCTCTACTACTTAGAGTTAGGGTTAGGGTTAGGGTTAGGGTAATCGTCGCCGCGTAACGATCGAAGAGAGAGATCGCTACTACCGCGAGAGTTTATACCGCTTCTATAGTAGTAACTACGTCTACTCTAATACTACTTATCTAGAGCTCGTCCGCTACGCTTAAGGCTATAGTAATCGTTTAAATACTAACGTCTCCGCCTTTAGTACTACCGCCGCCGATCCGACTAATCTACCTCCTACTAATAATAAGAACGCTAATAGTAGCGATAAGGAGGGAAAAGTATAGCTCTTAAACAAAGTCGCGTTTAAGAGCCTATACCGATAGAGTTACCTATACCGTTATTTCCGAAGGACCTATACCCTAATTATAGAAAGAGATATCGATAGTAGAAAGATTTAAAGATTAGTTTATTAGTATTATTAGGAAGTATTATACCTAAGGGCGATAATTAATATCTCGTCTTATATTATACTTTAACGGCTCGTAATAAACCTTAGTCTAGCGTACTAGATATAAGGTAGGATATCGAATATTAATTATTAGTAATAGTTAATTACGGTTATACCGGTTTATCTTTTATCGACTTATATTACGTATACTAATACTAACTCCCTATCTATAACCTAAAGGAGCCTCGTAGATTAACTACCTTCGACGGTAGCTTCGTAGCTAACGTTACTTAGTATACTAGAGCGACCGTTAATATTAATAGCTATATCGAATATAGGGCTTTCTACCTTACTACGCTAGGATACTATCCTATTATTCTCGGCCGCCTATAGCTTAATAAGTATAACCCTTATATCGACTAGAAGCTTAACCGAGTATAGTTTAACTCTAACTATTATAAGGAATACTATAACGACTTATATACTATCGTTCGTATCTATAGCCTATCTAATTACGAAGATAACGATACGCTAGCTTACGCCGAGCCTATAGCAATATAATACTATTAATAGTAGTAATTAGCTTATAACCTATTAGACGATACCGACGTAGTAAAACTTATCAACTTAATATAAAGACATTATATATAGCGCGACTATCCGACGCGCCGGTTAGTATCGATATAGTTCTTATCTCCGCTCTTACCTCCGCTATATCTATCGCCGCGACTAGCGCTAAAACGTTTATTACCGCCGCTTATCTATATCGCCGGTATAACTATAGCTCCTATAAGTATATAGGTCTTTAACTAGTAAATAAAGAAGAAGGATTTATTCGTATTCGCTATATCGCTATAAGATATAAAGAAAGAAATAGCTAAGAAGAAGTATATTAATCCTACCGATAAAGTCCCTTAGTACTATTATAGTAGGTTAATATTATTCTCGTAAGAAGATACGAAGAAGCTACCGCTATATTAACCTAGGTAAAACTACTATATCGATATTATTAAAGGTAAGGAAACGATATATAGCCCGCTCTACGGTATATTATATAAGGAATTAGAAGTCCTATATAACTATTTAAAGGATAACCTCGATAAGAGGTTTATTTAAGTATTAACCTTATAGTACTCTTCGCTAGTACTATTTATTAAGAAACCCGGTAGAGGTTTACGGTTCTATATAGACTATCGTAAGCTAAACGAGATTATAGTAAAGAATAGATATCCGATCCCTCTTATTTAAGAGATACTCGATCGGTTAAGTAAGGTAGTAGTATATACTAAACTCGATATTATCTTAGTATTTAACTAACTCTATATCGAACTAGGCTACGAGTAGAAAATAGCCTTCTATACTCGATACGGCCTCTTCGAATATAAGGTTATACCGTTCGGGCTATATAACGCGCTATTAACTTTCTAATAATATATTAACGATGCCCTCTAGCCCTTCCTTAATATATTCTATACTACGTACCTAGACGACGTACTTATCTATTCTAACTCTATCGAAGAATACCGCTATTACGTACGCTAAGTAATAGATACGCTCCTAAAGGCCGGATTACGAGCTAATATATCGAAATCGGAGTTCGAGATAATAATAGTTAAGTACCTAGGCCTTATTATTAGTACCGACGGTATCTATATAAACGACGAGAAAATCGAGGCTATACGCGACTAGCCTATTTCTACTAACGTTAAGGATATATAGTCCTTCCTCGGCTTCGTAAACTTCTACTACTATTTTATTTATAACTTCGCGCGAATCGTAAAGCCTATAGTTCTATCGACTTATAAGGATACTCCTTTCGTATATATAGCGGCTTACTAAGACGCCTTCGACTAGCTTAAGGCCGCTTTTACCTTTATATCTATATTAGCCTATTATAATCTAGACCTACTAGTAATAATCGAGACTAATACTTCTAATTATATTACTACTAGTATTATATCTTAGTTATATACCGACGGTATATAGAAGCCCGTCGCTTACTTCTTAAAGAAGATAATATCTACCGAATATAATTACGAGATTTATAATAAAAAGCTTCTTACTATTATTAAGGCCTTCGAGTCTTAGAGATCCGAATTAAAAGGCTATTAGTCTAATAAAGGACCTATCTATATTATTACTAATTACCGTAATCTATAGTTCTATATATCTACTAAGCAACTTAACCGCCGCTAAGCTCGCTAAAGCGAGTTCCTTAGTAGGTTTAATTTCGAGATTATATACCGCCCTAGTAGGTAAAAAGCTAAGCTAAACTTACTTATATATCGCTCCGCTAATCTATCCTTATCGACGGAAGACCTACGTATTAAGTATAACTACTAACTCGTACTAAAGCTATATAACCTAGTAGTAGACCTCCGATCCGCTACCTATAAAATCTTCTCCTTAGGGTTAGGGTTAGGGTTAGGGTTAGGGTTACGTAACCCTAAGGTAAATAACTATAGTTCTCGAAGAAACGGACGATTTAACGACTTTTACGTTTTTTACGGTAACGACCCTTAGGGTTAGGGTTAGGGTTAGGGTTAGGGTAAACCCTAATTTGTAAAAGCTCGTATCGACGCCGCTAGCGACGATATAGTTATATTTACTATAGAATCCCTCGGCGCCGAGACTTTAATTAACGCCGAGAATATTACTAAGCGAATTCGAGAGGCCTCGATTAAGGACGCCCTCTTCTAATAAGTAAAGGGATATTTTTATAGTAAATCGGATTCCTTTAATAATCTCTCTCTATTTCCCTTAAATTATAAAATTAAAAATAATCTTCTATTCTACCGCGATTACCTTTATATACTAGAGACTAAGGAAATAGATAAATTACTTTATACCGATATTATCTATATATACTATAACTATTCCGCCGCTAGGTACCCTAGTATCGTAAAAATATTCTATCTTACTAGCCGTAGTTACTACTAGCCGTAAATACGTAAAGATATTAAACGATATATTAGTACCTACTATACCTATTTTTAGACTAAATTATCGTAATAGGCGAAATATAGACTCCTTCGCCCTCTATTTATACTAACTACTCGATAGAAGAGCGTAATAATAGACTTCGTTACTAGCCTCTCCGATAGCTTCGGTTATAACTCGATCCTTATTATTATCGATCGATTAACTAAAATACAATATCTTATCCTATTTATATATAAGGAAAGATACTTAAGCGCTTAGATAGTCGCTAATACCTATCTTATATATATTTAGAAGCTTTATAGCCTTCCTAATACTATTACTTTAGACCGCGGTACGTAGTTTATCTCTAAGTTCTAGAACTACTTATATAAGCGCCTATATATTAAGCGTAACCTTTCGACTACTCGTTACTCTTAAACTAATAGATAGACTAAGCGATTAAACGAGGTTATCGAGGGATACCTCTAGTTATATATTAACTATAAGTAAGACGACTAGAGCCTATAGCTTCCTATCGCCGAATTTATAATAAATAACGTACTATCCGAGACTACTAGGTTATTACCTTTCTAAGCTAGTTACGGCTATAATCCGTGTCTTAGAAGCGAGCCTTCGATATTACCGGAAAAGGACCTACTAATTAACTACGACGCTTAGGCCTAGATAGACTATCTTTAGACCTTCGAAGCCTACTTCGTCGAGTAGATAAGATACTAACAATCTCGTATAGAAGACTCTACTAACTAATACCGTCGACCTACCCCTATGTACTAAGTTAGCGATAAGGTATTCCTATCCCTTAAAGGTATAAGTACCGATTAGCTAAACGCTAAGCTCGATATTAAGAACTCTAGCCTATATAAGATTATTAAAATCGTATTACTATACGCGTACTAGCTAAAGCTACCTAACTTAATACGAGTATACGACGTATTTTATATATCGCTCTTTATACTAGTATCTAAAGCGAGTATACCTAGTTAGCGATACGAGCTGCTACTACTATTAATTATCGATAGCGACGAGGAATAGGAGGTAGAATAGATATTAGACTCGAAAGGAAAGAAGGATAATATATAATATAAGGTAAAGTAGATCGGTTATAATAAGCTAATATAGGAAGCCGCTAAGGACGTTACTAATATATAAGAAGTAGTAAAGGACTATTACCGTCGATATCTACGTAAACCGCGCCCGCTACGTATTACTAACTCCGCGGTACTAATGCGACTAAGTGTACTACTTTTAGTCGCTATAATCGTAACGATCTAAGAATAATAAGTAATAGCGCTATAGACGTCGCCTACGAAGGGGAAGAGTACTATTACGATTTTAGCGACTTATATATAAAATTCGAGATTATATAACTTAAGGTTACGTAATCCAAGTTACGTAATCTAAAGCCTACGGACTCCGCTAAGCGGCCTCCGCCGAGCGGATAAAAGGCCCCTTCTACGGAAGAGCTTCTTCTTTCCTTCCTTAACTCGTTATTAATTTAGATAGCTATTTAATTAATATCTTAATAATTTACTAAAGGCGCCCGATATATCCCGGTACGGAAAGATTAGACTACTATTAATATAGTAGAGGCGCTATAGACTAATATCTTCTATACCTATTAGGGAACCCCTAAGGGGATTATATCTAATCGTAGATCGATACTAATATCTTACTATTAGAGCGAGATTTGCTTATAGCTAAGACTAAAGTATCGGCTATCGATAGCCTTCTACCTATAGACTAATAGTTAAATAGAGAGGCAGAATACTACCCTATAGTAGTACCTACGTAGCTATATTAATAAGAACCCCGAGGATTAGGTTAACCTCCTATAATCTATAGAATTCGTATATAATAATAGCGTGTATTTATTAACTAAGGTCTTACCCTATATAGCTATAATAGGCTAGAACGCTGCTATACTATAAGACCCCCTATCGCTCGAGGCCGAGCGTAAGGAAAGGGAAGCGCGTTAAGTACTAGAGATACTAGCGGTAATAGAACGTATCTAGAAGATACGGGAGATCTATACTAAGATAGTTAAAAAGCTAATAAAGGCTTAAGAGTACTAAAAGACCTACTACGATAAGCGCTATATACTAATAACCTTTAAACAAGGCGATATAGTTATACTTAGTACGAAGAATCTCTATATTCGCAAGCACCTATTACCTAATAGTAAAACAAGGCCTAAGCTCGTACTAAGATATATTAGCCTATTCCGTATTCGAGAAGTTAAGGGCTCCTCCGTATAGGCCTATTAGTTATAGCTTCTACCCTATTATACTATCTATAATACCTTCTATATATCCCTCCTTAAGCTATACTACTAGCGCGAAGGCGATAAAGCGCCTACTAAGTTAGAAGAAGTCTTAGCTAATAGCGAAGAGCTATAGTCTATAGAACGTATTCTAAAGTACTAGACTAGATAAGGCAAGAAGGAATACCTCTTAAGATAGTAGGGCTATTTACCTAAATAGGACTCGTAGGAGGCTAAAGACTCCTTCGAGGATATAGCCGAGTTATTAGACGAGTATTAGACGAGCGTAAAGAATAAGAAGAAGGCTAAGGGCCTATAATATTACTAGAAGGGCCTAGAACTAATACTACCCTCGGGGTACTATTAGCTAACTAATTAGAGGCAAGCAATTGTTAGTAACGAAGGATAATAAGACTATACTACTATAGTAGATACATACCGAGCGTTAACAAACGCGCTAGAACTATTAACCTATCGCCTACTCTTTTAAGAAATCTACCTCTTTACTAGCGTACCCTATAAGACCCTTCTTTTAACGCCCCTTTTATTTCTATATTCTATCGAAGCCCTAAGGCCTAGGCGGTTAGTAGAGGCGGCGCGCGCACGTAGGCGAATAGTGTTAGTAATAATAATAAAAACGATAGCGTTACGCTTATACTAAAGGGCGATATAGCCGGCGCGACTATATTAGTAATAGTATTATAGAGTATATTATTAGTCGAAGAAGGAAATCGAAAGTAAGGTAAAGTTAGCGCTAAGACGACTAGCGCTACTATTATTAATATTACTTGCTATTATTACTACGCCTATAGATATAACCTTACCTATACTATAAGCCTAAGGCACCTTTAATTAAAACTTTAATTAAAACTTTAAGCCGCCTAAAAGATTAAGCGACTAATAGACTAACTAAGGTTAAAAACTATAGAGCTAAGCTAGCTAGGGTCGATTTTATAAATAATAGGTTACTTCTCGATCTTTCCGACCCTTTAAGCGAGGCGAACCTCTACTACTATACTTATAATAGCCTTTACCTATAGAAACTAGACGAGCTGTGTTTTTTAAAAGATAAAATAAGATTAATAATTAAAGGCTACTAAACCTAACTAATTAGGGCTAGCGAAACTACGAATAGTAATAGCCCTTATAATAATAAGAATAAACCCTCGGAAGCGGACATTTCTAGGTCTTTTAGAGTAGACGTAGAGAACTCGGAACGACATTACTTAGAACGGAGGCAGTACTATAATACCTCGTACGCCTACCTATTATAGTAGGGAAGGCGCGCTTATATTATAATTAGTCGATAGCCCTTAATTCTTATAGCCTTATATCTCTTTACTTTATTATATATAAGGATAGTATAGTTAGAGTTAAACATTGTATTATATTAGAGGTAAGGTTTAATATAGTTATATAATTAGTAGTTATATATTTAATTTAGCGCGGACTAAGCGGCTTATTAGACCTACTAAGTTAGTAGTAATAGAGGTTAAGACTAGAACAAAGACTAGCTACGAGGGCGCGGCTTTTAGAAGGGAAGCGTATATTAGGACTAAAGAGATTATATATAATTACGTAATTAGTATATAACCGGGCTCGAGTAAAGCTAGGGTCTCGATGCCTTAGGTAGGGCTTAGCGCTTAGTAATAGGCTAACTTGCCTGCCTTCCTCCCTCTCCTCCTAGCTCCTTATCGAATACTACTCGTACCTACTACTACTCTATCTACCTACTAATATAACCCTTCTTATAACCTCTAGTTAGCGGCCTTTAGCCCTAGGTTACTATCTAATAAGTCGACTATATTAACGTTATTAATAGTGTTAGCAACGTTGCTAACGTTAGTCGTGATTAACAACCTGGCACCCCTAGATACATCGACGGTAGATGCGTTCGAAGAGCTTGGCGTGGCGTGGCTTGGCCTTGGCTAGCCTTGCACTCCTTGTCGCAGCTGCAGGAAGCCGTGCCAACAACCCAATCGACCTCCAGCGTCCAAACGCCACTTCCACTTCCGTCCGCCACTCGTCTCCATACGCCCCTTGCTCGCAATTATTATCTCGATAGTGCATTTCCTTCACACAATGTCGCCTCTTTCTAACCCACTCCCATTCACTGCGCCATTTTCACTGCGCCTGGCCTCCTTCTGCCAGCCTGCTGCCTTTCCCTTCTTTCGTTAATACTGCACCTTCGTTTGCCTTCCAATAAACACCTCCTCTTGGACCTTGGACCATTGCCATTGCAATTGCCATTGCCATTCTTACCCTCCTTTGACCACCATAATGCGCTTCAACACCTTCACTTCCCTGGCCACCCTGGCCGCACTTGCCGCCGCGCAAGCCCCAAGCATTAAGCAATACACCACATCACAACTCTCCAGCGGTGCCGCCTGGAGGAACATTTCAGACATCGCTCATGAGACTATGCGCTCCAATGTTGGCTCTCGACAAAATGCGGCATGCACATACGACAATGCCAATGTGAGAAAAGAGTGGCGTACTCTGTCACGCGAAACTCGAAAGAGCTTCACAGACGCTGTCATCTGTTTGCAAGAAATGAAGCCGCAGGTCATGACTTCCGCTCAAGCTGCCGACTATCCAGGAGTCAAGTCTCGTTTCGACGAATACGTTGCCACGCATATCAACTATACCTTGAACATCCATGACACCGCCGACTTCTTTGCATGGCATCGTACTTTCATTCACTATCTGGAGCAGGACCTGAAGAAGCTGTGTGGCTATACTGGAACCCTCCCATACTGGAATTGGGCAGAAGACTTTGATGCCCCTCAGGATAGCCCTCTCTTCTCGGGTGATGAGTATAGCATGGGAAGCAACGGAAAATTTGTGGCTGGTCGTGCCGATACATGGCTTGCTGCCCAGGATATCACATACCCTCCGGGAACTGGCGGAGGCTGTGTGCAGAAGGGACCGTTTAGCAAGTATGTTGTCAACCTCGGACCCCTCGACTTGCCCAACACCAGCAATGTCAACTCTTCATTCGAGCACAATCCACGCTGCCTCGAGCGTGATATCAACCCGTGGTTCTCGAGGCGCTACAACACCTATCAGAATGTGACCGAGCTTGTCCTGAACCAGATCTACGTCGAAGATTTCCAGTGGCTCGCGCAAGGCTACAACAGCGATACAAACAAGTTTGGTGTCCACGGTGGCGGTCACTGGCAGACTGGTGGTTCCATGATGGACTTCCACTCTTCTCCCGCTGATCCCCTTTTCTATTTACATCACGGCATGGTGGACAAGTAAGTTCTGCCTTGGATAGCTTTTGTGCCACACATGAGTCCTGACCTGTCACAGCGTTTGGACTGTATGGCAAAACCTTGACATCTACCGCCGACAGAACGTAATCTCAGGAACTGCCACGCTCGGTTGCGATGTCCCCGACTGTCCAGCGATGACACTCGACGACAGGCTTCCATTTGGCTTCGTTGCTGCCGATCCAGTCTTCAAAGACGTCATGGACACCTTCAGTGGACCTTTCTGCTACCGATACGAATAGTATTGTTGACCGTACAGGACGCGTCATACCACATGGAGCATGGTTGTTGTAGATGCGACTGGAGTAATGAACTTTACGACTCGATCTTGAACGGCCGAATAGATTTGGATTAGATTTGCAAGCAAGTTTTGTAACCGACAGGAAATTTTGCTGAACCAGCGGCAATCGATGGATGGAATTTGGCTGCAGCTGCATGGAAAGGTTCTGTAAGTTAGTGAACTGCAATGCAAGTAGGAGGACTAGGCACGATGTGTCGTAATGTAATGCACAAAAGAGCTTCGAGTTCATGTGTCCAGCCTACATTCCACTTCTATATCGAGGTAGAGATGGCGAAGGTAGCAGAAACTTGTCGTAAATTCCTCTACCTTCGCCATCTCTGCCTCCGAGGCTGCTCGACACCAGCGTTAACATGTCATTCCATACTCTCTGCACAAACATTGCCAAAGCAATGTGATCGATCAATCAAGCATACACGTCGCGATAAATCCGTCCTCCTTCCACCCCGTTATATGATGATATTCGCTAGATCAATGTCTCTCGTCGCGATAGTGATACATCTTTCAGCCAAGCTTTCACTTTGCTATCGGCAGACCTAGATCTCGCTTTTCTAGACTGGTCTGAAGATGCGTCCGTGTAGCTTGCCGATTTCGACTTTTCCGTACGACTTCGATTCTCTGCTGTGTTTGTTGTCTTCTTCGGTTCATGATGCACAGAGACTGGTCTTTGAGTTGTGTGATTATTGAGAGAGCGGGTAGGATGGTGGAAGTAAGCTTGCTCAGGAGAGCAGTCCGTGAAATCGGCTACTGAGCCAGGGAGTACAGGCTGATTTGATGGATGGTCAGATGTGATGCAGCAGAAGTTGTCGTCACGAGGATGGATAAGATGTCGCGTCTCGGCATCCCAATTTCTGCCGAATTTGCGGGTGAATTTGTAGAGTGGATTGCCAGGCATAGCAGTAATGGCTTGTAGCATCGAGTTGATGCGTCTTTGAGGTTCTGTCTTGACCCATATGTTTTATAGCGTTGGGACTATTTGCGTCGAAGTCGTGAATGCAGAGGTCAAAAAAGCTCTTCCGTCACTCGACGCCCGAACCAAGTGGCAAGCTCATCCTCCTTATCCTCTTGTGCCCCGAGAAGGAAACTTGTCAACTTGAGATTATCGGTGTCTGTATCGCCGGCATCTGGCCAGTCAACACGGCATGGCGCGCCCTTCGCTTCAAGCATCTCTTTCGCCGTGCCCCAGCTAAAACGACATTCATTACCCCAACCAAAGACGGGATCCATATTCGCCTTCAGCCAATTCGAGCATCGTGCGTCAGAAGGATAGCCAGAACCCCATTCCATTTCAGTCGTGGCGCCATCGCCTGCGAATGCTGTATACAAGACCTCGAGCGCAGCGTCTCTGGTGACCTTGGCGCAGACCGAAGCCGCAGAGACACAAGGATACAAACTGTCAGCTTTCTTCGCAACCGTGATGTTGAGAGCTGGAAAGATTTTCTCCAGCTTCTTCTGGTAGACCTCCGGCTTGCCGATCGTGTCGATGTAGACTTCTCGGATATTGACGCCAGAATCCAGGACCTGCTGAATGAGGTCGATCGTCGCATCCATGGCTTGATTGTTGAGGTTGTAGACTCCATGTGGCCTGAGCATAGCAGAAGAGATGTCCTTGGCGGATAATGATCTGGTCGCCCACCCGCAGTTCCGATATAGATCTGTGTCTGATGTACATATCTTTTCCATAAGCTCCGAGCGCACTGCCGGGGTAAGGACTTTGGAGTCGTCGAACTTGTGCGTATCGGCTAGCAACGATCTATGCAGAGTTGTTGGCAGATAGTATAGTGCGTAGACCATTGGGCCGAGTACAGGACCACGGCCTGCTTCGTCTACACCCAGCACGCATTCCGTGGTCATATCATTCTTGATGGTTGGCGGAATGGCGGAATGGTGGGTATAGCTGTCTCCTGACACTACTTTTGGGTTGTGTATTGAAGGGGGGATGAAAACGTGGGCGGCAGGAGTCTCCAGAGCCACATCTTGCGTGTCTGGAGCATCTTCAATTACTTCGTCCATGGGCTGGTTCATGTTGACGTGAGACTTCTGAAATGGTGTTGGCAGTGCTCGAGTCTGGAAGACGCGCCGCGTGTAGAAGCGCGCGACGGTGGCCTGTACCTTCCCTCACGCCTTTGAAAGTCCTCCGTGACTCCGTCGCATAAGCCTTGGCGGGCACGGGAAGCGGGAACCTTACTGTAGTGGAAGTAGGACAGCGTCATCGGTAGCAGGACCTCGGTATTGGGTATTGTGGTCGGCATCACAAGCTGCGAAGTCGACGAGCAATAGGAGTACCTCAAGTACCCGGGATATCGCGCGTGTAGGCATCGACACTGTTTCTTACCACTTCTATCCTTGTCACAACTGCAACTCCTCTTTCTTTTCGCCCGTCGACCCGAACTTGCACGCGACCTCCTCCAAAGACCGCCAAAATGTCAGAGAAAGTACGAATGCGCCGCACCGCGCCCACCACCAGACAGTCGTACATGCAACACGGCCGCTAAGACATACACACAGGAAAGCGCAGCTCAGCAGAGCACCGCCGAGCAGCAGAGCGACAATGTGGTCCATGCACTCGCAGGAGCGGGCGGAGGCTTGCTTTCAATGGCCTTGACGTTAGTTCGGACAGCGTAGAAGATGACCGCGACGCTGAGCAATACAGATATCCTTTGATCACGCTATCGACAAGAGCACAAGTTGAGAAAAAGAAGGCTTCATCCGGGACTCTGGCTGCAGCCAAGCGCATCGTGGATCGTGAGGGCATAATCGGTCTATATGCTGGCTTAGACAGCGCTCTATTCGGCATTACAGTCACGAACTTCGTATATTACTATTGTGAGGACGCACACGATACCACTCACGACTTGAACAGTCTTTTGCTGACAGCATGCCCAAGGGTATGAGTTCTCTCGAGCATTCTTCCAGAAGTCCAGCGGGAAGAAGAACCTCAGCACACTGGAGTCCATGGCAGCGGGTGCTCTGGCCGGTTCGGCGACTGTAATGCTCACAAACCCGATCTGGGTCGTGAACACCCGCATGACAGCTCGTGAGAACGAGTCCACAGACACTCTCCCGACCAAGGAGGGCGAGAAGCCACGAAAGGCCCGGACTCCGGGCACAATCTCGACCCTCCTCAAGATAATCCGTGAGGATGGCTTCACCCGACTCTTTGCGGGTGTCCTGCCAGCTCTAGTGCTGGTCATCAACCCAATCCTTCAATACACGATTTTCGAGCAATTGAAGCAAATGGTTGAGAAACGACGAAAGGTCGGTCCAACCGACAGCTTCATGCTTGGAGCTCTGGGTAAACTTGCCGCGACTTCCATCACATACCCTTATATCACGGTCAAGTCGCGCGCGCATGTTGCGAGCAAGGATAGCAAGAAGGAGGGCATGACTGCGACCCTCAAGAGGATCTACACCGAGGAGGGTGTTGGCGGTCTCTACGGAGGTAAGATAGACTCTTCTTATGCCAATGATAATTTCGTGCAAGACCACTGCTGACGATGCTTAATCAAGGTATTGGACCAAAGGTCACACAGTCGGTCATCACTGCCGCCTTCCTGTTTGCATTCAAAGATGCACTTTACAATGCCACCGTCAAGGCTCGCAAGACCTTGACTCAGAAGAAGGCATAAATGATACCCAAGACGATCGCGATCGGAGTGAAAGATCAGCCATGAAGCAGTGCTTGCTTGTGAGGGAAGGCAAGCGAGATGATGACTATGGAGGGGCGATGATTTGGCGCCGAGGACCATCTAGGAGGATCTACCCTAGCATTTACACATTCAAACTCTCTGTTGTACCATCTTGATAGACTAGGAAATCGAAACAGCAGTACCCCGGCGTTGTCTGACCATACACGCACGTAAATTTCTTATATGTCGAGTGCTTCGATTATAAGTATCCACGAGCTACCAAAAAAAAGTGAGATGAAAAGGCTACGTAAAGTGCGAGAAAGGGAAGGCGACATTCAACGACAAAAGCTGATCAACGAAGCTCGCAACTGCTACATTATCCACCGCACACCAGCAGTAGTCCAGTCCACCAACTCCGTCAAATGCGGTGACTACCAGAACCATTACCATTGAACCCAACACTACGTCAATGCCCAATGTTAAGACTGGTCATAGCTGTGGTCCGACGCCAAGTCCTGCTAGGGTCGGCAAGGTCGTTCAGTATCGGAGCCGCGCTGTATACGTGACTGTGTGCGCGCGGGTCGGGGGTGCTGTGCAAGTGTTCGTCCAGATGCGTTGCGCAACCAATACCAAGATGCTCACGAAACATGGCGGTCGCTCCAATGGGGGTATACATTGCATCTCATCTTCAAATTCTGCTGTGTCGGCCGTATGTGCAACAATCGAAGGTCCAGGTCGGGACGCATAGCTCGTACTGCCGTCGTCGTCCTGCCTTCTATCCAACAACTCTATTGACGCCGTCGCCGTGATATCCGGCCGCATCACTAGTCATTGACCATAATTACTTTTCTCATTTGCTGGACCCGAACGCCGTGCTGTGGTTTGAGGTGCTGGACGGTTATCTGAATCTGGCGGAGCAACGACCCATGACTTCGCCTTGGCAAACAAGCTCTGCACTGAATTCGGACCCATCAAGGGTGAGGTAAATGTCGAAGTAGACTCGGTAGAAAGTGCCTTGAGGAGTGTCCATGCGTTCAAAGTCCTTTTCCAAGTTCTTTCGGCTCAGATCAGAGGTAAGGGTAACGACTTCCTTGATTCCTGTATCGAGTGTCAGTATTAAGGACGCGCAATCTATACGAGCTAACTTACGTGGATCCTTGGTATATTCTGGGCACACGTCCTCGTCGCAAGCGTACAAAACATCTTCGTACATGAGCGTGGCGCCAGGTGCGACCTGTCGGAAGAATGAAACCTTGACCGGCTCGCCGATCTTGACTCTTTGGCCCTTTTGCACGAAGATTTGACGCGTGTATTTGCAGCGATCCTTGCCGTCGAGGGATGGCACCCGGTACTGCTCGGGATGATGACCCTCTTTGAACGGCTGCAGAGTCGCCATGAGGTAGTGCCTTCTTGCGACACGTGATGTGATGACACGTTCGGTAATACCAGCGGTGACAGCTCCCTTAACAATCGCGGCCACGGAATCCATAGGTCGGACCACCTTGTTCTGGAACTGTGGCGGCACGTGCAGCTTGATCTGCTGGAAAAGGTATTCGGAGGCACCGAAACCTCCAACGACGAGCACATTCTGCGACTCGTTAGTATCGACCGTCATAAGTCACAGTAATGATTCAAGCTCACCTGCAACGATCGATTCTGTGCTTGAATAGCAATGATTTGATTCCTGACGAGTTCCAAGATGCGGTTGACCACAGGCTCGAAGCACTGCAAGATCTCCTCGTTCGTGAACGTCATGTAACCTTCCTCGATGCCGGCGTCTGGGAATTCCGCTTCAATGCCAACATCCACAGCCCACTTCTGGCCGTTGTTACGGAAGTCGGCCTTTATTCGGTTCTCGAAGTCCATGATACATTTGGCGTAGACCTTACCTGCGGTCTTGGAGCCATCGGGCAGCTTCATTTTCCTGATCTTCGCCCGCAAAATGTTGGAGAAATTGCGGTTGAGAGCTGTGGAACCACACGAGTCACCCGAACCAGCTGTACATTCTGCCACCGTGAAAGGTGACTCTTCCTCAACCTCATAGGCAATCAAATCAACTGTACCACCACCGCAGTCAACAATCAGGACGGCGTCGTGCACCTTGAGATTTAAGAGACCGGTCTTGGAGCAGAACATGGCTGCCGCTTCAGGTTCGGATATCAGAGTCAAACGGTTATCATTTTCGTCGCGGAGGAAGCCAGCTTGGATAGCAGCCGCTCTCGTTGCAGCCTTTCCGGCATCATTCCAAATGGCAGGCACTGTCAAAAAGTACCTAATGTTGCGCTCTTCTCGGTTGAACACCTCTCCCAGTGTCTTCTGCAACTGATTTCTCATGGCTTGTCGGAGCTTGAAGAGGTAGTCTGCGGCGACATCGATCTCGGACTTGCCCGGTGGAAGCGGTGGCAGGTTGATTGGGTCGATGTAAGTGTTTCCGGAAAGCATCAGCTGAAGCTTGAACCACTCCACCTTTTGCACGCCTGGTTTTGGGTAGCCTGTTGGCGCGAGGGCCTCAGCGATATCTGGACCCCATCCGACGACCTGTTGGTGCTGGTCATAGTACAATACAGTAGGAATCTGTTGATGACGATCAGTCAGCGTAAGGCTGCAGGGCAAGCTTGGCATGGCGATGTGCCCACCTTTTGCTTCGTTTGCGTGCCTGCGCCTGGCCATTCGACGATGATATCCTCTTTGGCTTCAGTGTTGGTCGCAAAGGCGAAAGCGACACCAGAGAATGTGGTACCCTAGTCAGCATGTTAGTACACGCCAAGAGAACCGAATTGCATGTTTCCGCACAAAGTCAATGCCAACGATCAGCTGTGCTTTGCTTCGTTGGCTGCCCTCCATCTCGCCCACTGGTCGTGGGCCAGCGTATGAGTGCGGTCCTTGTGGGTGCTGGCCGTAGCCATAAGGCTGCTGGCCTTGCATTGGGTAGCCGGGCGGAGCGGGCTGGTTGTACAGCTGTTGCGCGTGCTGTGGAGCGTACGCATGTCCACCGCCCGTGTTGATGGGCGGCGGAGGCATTGGGCTCGAGGGTCTGCCTGCGTTAGGATGCCCCGGAGCACCTAAATTATTGCCAGCATTTGCGTACTGATATGACGGAGGCCTGCCAAGCGGCGCCTGCTGCTGACTGGGATTCATGGCGGGCAGCGAGGTGGAGGAGGCGTTGGGATTGCCTACTGCTGGCGCAGTGCTGCTCTGAGAGGTCGGCGCGGTGCTGGGGGCAGTGGTGCTGCCGGCGGACGAGGAGGGCGGGAGGGTGCCGTTCGTGCTCGCAGCGCTCAATCGCTCACGGGCTGCGGGCGGTGAGGCGGCGGTGGGAGCGAGGTTGGTGGTCGAGTTGGAGCTGCGGGAGGTGGCGACGCTGTTGTTGCTGCTCGATCGACGGGTCGAGCCAATAATCTTCCGGAATCGCTGGTTCATAGAGGCTCGCACCTGAAGGCTCTCTGGGAGAGCAAGCAACAAGCAACGGCAAGTGTCAGACGATGAGTAGGGCAGTGTGCAGGCAATGGCAAGCTCCGTGTCCGACGGCAGCGGCAGTGCAGTGCAGCAGTGCGATGCAGTCCACGGCTTGTCCAGTGCGCAGGAGTTCCAAGGGCCGGAAAGCAGAGCGAGCAGGTGCAATGCTGGCTGGGCTGGGCTGGGCTGGCTGGCTGGGGCAGGCAAGGCAAGGCAAGGCAGCTTCAGGCGGATTGCGGACTGAGCCACGCAGCTTAGTGGGAGTTGGGAGGGATGGATTCAGTCGGGATCGGTATCGGTCAGGCAGCAGCAACGGCAGCGGCAGCGGTCAGGCATCAGTTTCTCACTGCAGCATAGGCGCAGAGCCACAAGAACTGGCGGGTCGGGACGGGTGACGGCGACGAATGCAACTGATAGTGATACAGGCACTGTACATACAGTAGAATAATGTTGCTGACTGATGAGACCGCGAACGAAGCGCGGCGCGGCACGGCACGGCACGGCGGCGAAACAACCTGGACCAACATGAACTCCAGCAAGTATTGTAGTATACACGCATGGATACACATCGGGTATGCCCGAATGCCAGGATATCCGAGCAATATGAAGCAGCTTAGCGGGATGTAGGCGGGATATCAATATACAACGAGCTCGCCTCAAAGGGTCGTGTATATAGTGTATTACAGAGCGTGTACACCATCCACAGGTTGGTGGACCACATCACTACCAGCAAGCACGAAAGCAAGCACTACTGCCGCTGCGCAAATTGGCCGACAACGCAGCTGGCACAAACGAGGACGAGGGCGGTGGCGCTGGAAAGAAATGCTGGAGCTGTGTGAACCGTGAACGTACGATGGCACTTCCGCTGGTAGGATGGAGTCCGCCAAGGCATCCCACGCTTGGCGGCAACAATCAGCCTCACATCTAGGCTTAGTAGTCACTACGGTGGGTAGGCTGGTGCGTTCCCGATTGCCTATCTTCGCACTTTGATCTCCCGCGCGCCCTCTATCGAAATTAGAAGTAATCCCTTAGCCACTTCCCCGAGCCCTAGCTAGCTGCCCGAGCCCTAGTAGATATAGACCTAGTACTAATATAGAATCGCCTTGTCGTCGATTACGTACTATTTCTACCTGTTTTTAGATATAGCTGTTCTTAGTTAGTGTTATTAACAGTCGCGCCTAGGTACGCGCACTAAATATCGCATTTCTATTATTTCTATTAGAATACGTATTTCTATTATCTTTCTTAATATAATAGCTTAATCTCTATCGTATAAGGCCTATATAGACGATTTCCTCGCTAAAAACGATATCGGCGGCGCGGCGGAGGTAGTAGAAGGGGAGGTAGTAGATATTAAGTTATAGGAAGAAGTCGAATTAGTCTTAGAAACGTGTATTCGAGGGCGTAGTCGCTTACTTAACCTGCCTCGAGAGCGTATATCTCTACCTAAATATCGATTAGTATTGCCGCGCCCTTAGAAATACGAGTTTGTCGTTAAACCGCTAGAAGAAGCGACCTTACCGCCGCGAGGTCTAATACCGCGCGAGTCGACGTTCCCTTTAAAACGCGCCCTCGAGTAGTATATCTACAAATTTAGTATATCGAAGGGGTACGAGTTTAAGGAGTAGAAGCCTAAGAAGAACAAGAATAGCATTAAATATCGCTATTTGTATATATATAGCTGCTTTAGTCTACTAGATAAGCGGACCTAGAATATAACTAATAAGACGTAGAAGAAGACAAAGAAGATAGACTATAAGTTCTACTTCTACGCTATTACTATCTACCCTCTCGAGCTAGAAGGCGAGTAGCAGATCCGCTATTCTACTAAGGAAGGATACTGCTGCTATAACTATTAAAAGGACGATATTATAGCGCTTACTACCCTTCGGAAGCGCTCGAGAACGGCTAAATTCCTCGAGCAATTAGAACGGCTATAGTAAGCTCGTATACTAACGTCGAAGATAATAGCCTATTTCCGCTACCGTAGAGTAATCTTAAAGCCTTATAATATATATAATATTGCCTAGAACCGGACTCTTAATTAGCGCCGCGAGGCTAACTAGGCTTAACGTATAGTTAACTTGCTAGATAGTAATAGTATCTTCTACGATATCTACCCTTCTAAGGACGGCTTAATTTAGTTAATAGTAGCTCTATATCTAACCTCGCTCGAAGCCTTTAAGGAGACGCCGTACTAGCTAATTCTCGACACTATATATTCTACTAATTTGTATAACCTCGAGCTACTAGATATAGTCGCCGCTAGACCGATAAACGACACTATTAAGCTCGGTATTAGCCTTATCCGTCCGAAGCTAGACTAAGCTAACTTCGTCTAGTTATTACGGTCTATTCGAAAGGGCCTCGAAGAAGCCGACTATGCTATACTAATTGTAATAGCAACTAATCGAGAAGAAGCCTTAATGCTAGCTATTAATATAGTGTTTCCGGAAGCTACGAACATCGTCTGCGAGTAGCATTTAAACTAGGATATACTTACTCGAGTAAGGAAGGAGAGAGGCGACTTTATATAGATTAAGGCCGACGGTTGCTAGATAGACAGTCTATCTACTAATAAGTTTATAAAGCTGTTTACTTATACTATATATAGTAAGACCGAAGAAGAATTTAATAGCAACGCTGCAAAGCTAGATAACGTCTATCCTATATTTAAGGCCTATCTCTATAAGAACTAGTAGCACTATAAGACGAGAATAGTTAACTTCTAGACTAACTAAGTGCTTTACTTCGGCTGTAAGACAACCTTACGAGTCGAGTCCTGCTATAGACGTATTAAGCTCTAGCTTAACTATAGCAGCCGATACGATATCTTTACGCTCTTCGAGTCGCTTCTTAATTAGTAGTAAGAAGGTTACGACCGCCGCTATACCGCTATAGCGGACAACCTAAAGAGGTATAGTAAACTACTAACTAGACCCTTCTACGCTAGTATCTCTCGAGTTATTAGTAATTACTACCTTCTCGAAGTAGCTAAGCTATATAGACGTGCTATCGCCCTTCTAAGAACTACGACTAACGATAATAGCAACGAGATTAAGTATTTAGCCTTCTCGTATAGCTATATACAGTACCGCTGCAACGACTACTTAACTAAAACCTATAGTTATCCGTACCTCTACGAGATTATAAAGATAGTTAAGACAGAAGGAAGCTATATAGTACTATTGCCTTGTTACTTCTACGAGTACTAGTTAGTCGACTTTAGTAAACGACCGCTACGCCTACGAGAGCCGAAGGTTGTATTTAGCAACCGTAAACCTATAACTAGCGGAGCTACTTTGTATAGTACTAAGCGTATAGCAACGGCTCGAGAATTAGACGATTTAAATACTATAGCGGTCGCTAAGAAGCAGAAGACAGTAATAGTAAGGACCGTAGACTTTATATTAGAGCTAGGCGTATCTCTTACTTAATTAAGGACTACTATTGCTTACTGTAAGTGCGTTAAGAGCCAATGCCGTACTTAGTTATGCCCTTACTAGAAGGCTAACCGTACCTATAGACCTGCCTATTACTCTATAGGCTTCGACTATTATAATCTATAGTAAGAAGCACTTCTAGTTAAACTATAACCTCCTTCTAAGCTAGACCTTCTACGGTAAGAGGTTAATAACCTTCGAGCGCGTAAAGAACAGCGCACTTAGTAACAGATTAACTATAGCCGACAGCAGGCGGCATTGTTTAAATAGCAATAGCGATAGCAATAGCAATAATATTAGTATTTACTAACATAGCTAGTACGGTAGGTACTACTGCACTATAGCGTTCTATAGTAACAACACTAACAGTATTATATATAGCAGCAATATCGACAGCAACAATACTACTAACACTACTAGTACTAAATATAATAGCAATAGCAATCTAGCTAGTAGCTAAGAGACTAGTATAAGCTAGTATATATAGCCTCGCGTAGTTACAAGGCCGTAGGCCGCAACCCGCTTAGAAACGAGTAGATAGAACTATTACTACTACTATAACTATTAACAACACCTCGAATTTTGCTATACTACTGTTTTGCTAACAATCTTTAGCTTTATAGTTAATAGCAGTATAGTTGCCCGGTCGGCAGTAGCCGCAGGGATCCAGAAATCGCTTCTACACGCGATTTTGTAAGGAACAGCTGATTTCGTAATCCTATAATCTACTGGGGCTCGGGCAGCTAGCTGGGGCTCGGGGAAGTGGCCAAGGAAGTAATCCTGTCTGGCACCGCGGACCTACTGGCAACTGCGCCTTGGCGTGACCAAGTCAGTGCACTCGGCCATTGTCTCATCCAGTCCAAAGTGGAAAAGGCAAACCCGACATCACAAGGACCTAGCGTTTCAAACATCCTCACACAACAGACCCTGGTCAGTGGTCACCGCCACATCGCTGTGAATCATCCGCACATGAATAATATGATGCCCGGCCGGCCCGCCCGACCCAATCTGTCGTTGAGATTTGAGCATCCACTGCCGCGGTTCTTGCTCCAAGGGCTTAGGGAAATGCTTCTGTATGATAATGTCCTTCCACTATCATCGAACAAATTCGCCCTTACCACCAACATCGCCGTCTACGAGCAAGTAAGGAGTAGCGCTCACCTCCAACACGATCCTCTCGTCCTTCCCAGACAACAAAATCCCGGTCGACTTCGCATCTGCCGCATAAGCAGAAAGCGGCTAGTGCGCATCTGAAATCCGCCAATAGCAAGGCGCAGCATGCACCTGGCAGTCCTTTCCAGCTCACAAAAGAAGTACACTTTCTTCTTTCCCGACAAGGAAAATTGATTCCTGCTCGGCTAGTGGCGTACCGAGACAATAATCAACGCTTCTTTGAAAAAGACACGTGCAGTCTAAGCGAGACCATTGCAGCCGGCCGGCCAGCCCAAGCCGTTCTTCACCGGTCAGGTGGGACCATTGATGATGATCATGTCTTGCAGCGGGCGCTCCAGAACAATGCCCAACGTGCAAGTTAGAACATGTCACGCGAGGCGAGTTCTGTACAACGCATCGTTGCATCATGATCGTTCACCTCCTGCAGGAATAATACACGTCCATAGCAAGCAAGCTTTGGAAGGAACTGTTGGTCTGATCTATCAAGCTCTCGCCAGGCATGCTTGGATGAGCGACAAGAAAATGCGGTCAAAAGTTGAGAGGCTTTGTGGAGTTCAGAAGGAACACTGGACGCCTTGCGCCATCCATGCCTCTGCACTGCCGCATTTCCAACAACTTCCGGCAATAATGGCTTCTAGAATAATTCGAACCAGTTTTCGTACAAGACCACGTATGGCTTATGTCATCGACATCTGCCATGATGAAACAGCCATTGTGCGTTGATTTTAATACGAGGTCCGTGAACCTCAAGAAACATATGTCATTTAGCAGCTACATAAGCTCAAGGTGTAAGAGAGTGAAGCTACAGCCTCCCTCCACATCTCGTCTAGCATCCGCAATCAATATAGAACAGCCGCTGCTCACGTACCGTTCGTCCTCTTCATCCGCCTTCCTCGCCGAATGAAGTTCAAGATCACCCAATTTCTCTTCCCGGTCTTTTTCTTGTTTTTCCCCCTCGGTGGATCGCCTGTATTCCATGAATCGCATTTGAGGTACCTACCTACCTCGCTCGGCATCTTCTTCATTTGCTTTCGGATTTTGGGAAGAGATGTTGGTGGCCGGTATATCGGCGATGTGGCGCGCGTGTGAATCGAATCGGATCGAAGCTTTTCAAGGCATATCGCGCCACACGTCGGTCGATCGTGGTCGTCCGCGTAATAGCTCGATTCGACCAGTGCATCTGCTATAATTGCATCCTGCGTCACCGAAAACTGATATTGATGTTAGGTTTTACAAGTACGGGCTGTCGCCCGAGCCAAAATTTCTTGATGGGATAATGGATTATAGCAATGACTGCTCAGCCGGCTGAGCCATTCGGCGTAGCAGACCCATTTGCTTTGGCGGCGGTCATGCCTGGGACGTTGCCAGACTGTCGGCGCTTAGCAGGGTCCAGATTCTCCTGTATCACAAAAGTCAGCGATTTGTGCAGTCCGGAACGATGAACGAAATGCCAGATAGTCGATGGTCGCAGTAGCTCCCTCCCGGCATCTTCCATACTCACGTCCAGGCCAGTATTGGTAAAGCTTCGCTTCTTGTCGTTCTCGGCAGCTGTATCTGTCTTCTTCGGCTTCTTTTTCTTGACTGGTCGCTTCTCGCCTTCCGTGAAGAGGTCATCAGGTAGTTGGTAGCTGCTACACGTTAGCATGTGCAGCATCTCTCAGAGGAAATATCACGTACTCGCGAACGTGCTTGATCTGTACCGAGTGCATTTTACTGTCATAGCCATCCCAATCTATCACTTGTCGTTTGAAGTCCTGAATCGGCCAGGAGATGTCGAGATTCTTCGCGCCTGCGATCACAGTCAGCCTAGCGGAGGTGTTAGTAGAGACGGCAGCGGACCTTTGATCAGCTCTATTCCGAGGTAGAAGGTTGTCGTCCAGATCTCGGTGATGTTGTCCTTCTTCTCGATGGTCGTTCCATCAGCAGCTGCGTTTGCGAGCGTAGATCCATCGTCCTCCTCATGCGCTGCAACTTGTGCCTTGACCTCTGCGGATTGGTCAGCAGTTTTGGACTCGCCGACCTGACACTCAAGGCCTCCCGCTAGAGTCTTCTCGATGTCGGCCTCGCTCTTGCACTCATGTCGGCGTGCGATACCCTTGTTAAAAGGCTGAACCAGCTTCACGCTGTCTGCATCAGATTGCTCGATGCCCGCCAACAAACGTTTGACCCTCGACTGTACCAGGCCAGACCAGGCTTGCTGTGCATCTTTCGTCCGAGCAGCTGTAATGATGCAGATGTAATGTTGATAGGCATCGCTGAAAAAAGTGTGCTTGGCGAACAAGTCCTTCCACGGTCGCTTTCCCTCGTAAATTTCATTCATGATTTTCTCCCCACGATCGGATTCCTTCTTCAGCACAGCCATTGTAGATGGCGTGATCGTATGCGTGGAATTCATGCACGGGTATGCGGGGGTAATGACTGGCATCAAATGGCGTTTGTCTCCAGGATTGGTGGTTGGGTCCCACTCAGTCTTTCCCAGCGGACCCTTCTCTCTTGCCTGTAAGTAGATTGGTGAAGGCCACGCCCAAGTATGAAGCAGCCAGAAGAACTTTTGGACGATCTTGGGGGCGGCGGCGTTTGGGTACAGCTGGCAAACTCGTGCCACTATCATGCCATATGCAACTCCACCTGGGTAGCAAGCAATCGCGCCGTACACTGCCCTCTTTTGTGCCCACAGCTTCACGGCTCGCAATGCGATGCGGAAAATACGAGTTTGCGGTACGAGTGTCAAGATACGGTCGGTCACTCGAGTGCCGTTGACACACTTCAGATCCGTGTCGTCCAATCCACGAAGCAAATTCGTGTCGCCCAGATCCAGGTTGGTCGGGATAGAGTCGCGCTGTAAATTGGCAAAGATCAGGTCAATATCGACCCCCATGAGCTTCGTCTTGATGATGGGCACAGCCGCCGCAGCAACCACCACCATTTCTGTGATCTCCTCCGGCTTGAATGTAGCGCGAATCATGCCCGGCATGCGCTCAAAGAAGTCGTCACGAGAGACATGCTTCGGCGCGACCATGAGAGAATCGATATCAGATCCCGGCCCGTAGACGCCGAGGCGATAACTGCCGTATGTGAAGATCTTCCCACCCGCCTCTTTTAGTAGTTCGGGACTCATGCCTTTCTTCTTCCCCACATCCTGGACCAGCTTTTGCAGCAGCTTCTGTAGTTTCTGCAACACAGAGTTCCTGTCAAGCGTGAGGTTTCATTCTGACGAGAATCGGAATGTACAATTGACCTACCTCTTTGCAGTCTCCTCCGGCGACTCGAAGTTGTTCTGTGCTTTCAATTCAGTCAAGAGTGTTTCGCCGAGCTCTGTGTCTTGCCTAGAGGGCGGCGCAGTCGACAGCGGCGACGAGACTCCAAACTGCGCTCCATTGGACTCGGACATGTTGCTAACGCGTTAGAGATGTTGGAAGGACGGAGAGGTGGTCGAGTGTCGCGCTCCTCGTGCTTCATCGGGGGGCCAACTCGGGGGTAGAGGTGGTGCGGGCAGCGGAGGGCGCGCGCGAATCCCAGTGTCGCGTTAGGATATCAATGCGACGCCCTTTACCTGCCCGGAGGATGCAGAGAATGGGCTCACCGACGACAATGTTATTTTGCAGATGGCAGGCGCAGAAACGGTTTTGAATCGCCGCGTTGAGCTCGCGGCCGCTAGTGCACTTCTGCCGCTTCGGGCCGAGCTCCGATCGCGTGGGTGAAGCACAGACTGGCGATCACATCAACAACCATCCCGTCACCATGAGGGCAATACGCACGGCACGTGGAGTCTGCCTCGAGAGGAGAGGAGAGGACGCATACTCACAGGACCCGAGATGCAGCATGATATGCCGACACCTGAAGTTCGGTTCAAAATGCTCATCATCTTGGACATGGCTCCAATGGAGTCAGATGAAAGACTGATTCGAACGACAGAAAGCGTTTTCTTTCGTGCTTATGTACACGTGCTTTGCGTATCGATACACGCATCCTCAGCTGAGCTACAAGTACAGTTCATCACAACTTGAACATCTTTTGCAAAGCATCATTCAAGATGCTGACATTGTAATCGATCAACACTCTTTTATCCGCCGTGCTACCTTGTCCCATCACACATATCAGTGAAAGGTATCTGCAAAGCCTCGTTAGCAGGAGTACAGAGCTACGGACTGCTTCACTTACTCGTTGATTTCTCTGGCGTAGATATAAGTGTTGCCGCTCTTGTCATAGGTGATCAAGCTCTCGCTCGGCGCGCTTCCATGACCATCATCACTGTTCGCTGTCGATTCTCCGTCACGGCTCTTTGGCTCCCAGCCGTATATCTGCTTGATGTCGACAATTACATCGACATAGTCAGAGCAGACTTCATAGTCTTTCAGAAAGGTGGGGCTAGCATCGGTCGCAAGGTAGATCTTGCTTGTCGTATCAAACAGGTATGCCTTTTGAATTCGACAGCTTGCGCAAAGCTTGTTAAGCAAAGCTTCCATGGCAGGCAATTGCGGAAGCAGCTTTTGCACAACCTTACTCATGGCCTCATAGATTGAATGATCGAAGATGCTGGTCTGGTAGAATGCCACTCCTCGTCCAGCATAGCCGGCATCTGACAACTCGTCCTGGACTCGTTGTCGTACATCTCGATAAGTGTCGTATTTGTACTCTTCGGACAGCCCATCGATCTTGTGGATGAAGACTTCGAAGTTGATGCGGGGATAATGGTCTAAGAGGAAGGTGGCCGTCTGTATCAGATGGCTGATACTGTTGAAATACTCATCTTGAATATCGATTACCCACACCACAGCGCCGACTGAGCCAAACACTGCCTCACGATCGAAATCGGGCGATACATAAGAGATGTTAGTTGGTAGCTCCGAGCTTTCCAGCCTCATGAATGAACTACAGCAAGGTCAGCACCATCATGCATGCACCGGCACACGAACGTACTCCATTGCAGCCGATTCAATCTTGCTTGTCGGCTCTAGAAAGAGCGTGTCGGCAGGAGATAGCTTTTCGAACAAGACTTTCTGAATTGAGGACTTCCCACTCCTTGAAACCGCCGGTCAACCATTGCGTAATCGTAATGAGGCAGCCAATCGACCAACCTTCTCATGCCCATGAAAAGAACCTTAGGGTTGCCTTTCCGTCGAGTGTGGCCATATCTAGTAACCGCGTCCAGGCTCTGCCGTGGATACACATCATCAGCATAGTCTTGCTGAATGGCGTCTCGTTGTGTCAGATTATCATTCTGCCTAGGCGACGTGCTCTGCGATGAGACATTCGAAGCCGCCGTTGATGCAGTTGAGCTTGTCGCATAGCTCGACTGATGGAAAGAAAGTTCAAATGGATTCGGTTTGTTGCTAGGCACGGGTGTGGGCTGCGGACTGAGAATGTTGTGAGAGAAGAGTGTGCGCATGACGAGAACTGTAGAAGTAACACGTCAGAATTGGCCCAAACCTGATCAGAAGAGTGTCCTTTTGCAGATTGCGAGATGGTTTTTGCAAATGATTGTGGTATAAGGTAGCTTTTTTGCTGCCCCATGTTTATGATCATGATTTGAGACGGTGAACATGAATCGTATCACCGTCTTGTGGAAACGAAGTTTGAGGGACTTACACAGTGTTGACGGAGGTAGGCAGCCGCACAAGATCCGTCTGATAGATCACATCTCAGTGTGTAATGGCCGGACCCGCGCTTGGAGTGTGTTACGAAAGGTAAGGGTCATTTTCGCGATGCAGCATTGGAGACCACGATGCCAGCAAGGACGACGCTTCCTTTTTGAACAGACGAACGGGATAGCCTCACCTCCATGATCGCAAGCTCAAGTCACATACCGCCACGGCTACTTCTGATATCAGGGCTCCTCCTTGCTGCCGGCAGCGGCTGATCGGCCCAGCAAGCTAACCATTCACCGCCAGATGTTTGGGCTGCAAGATTCGCCGCGGACCAGTGAGATGAAGTCGCGGTTGATGGCCACGCGATGCCGACCTGCCGGTAGTGCGAGTCAAGATGCCGGTCGCTTTTCGTGAACGGTTCTTGGGATACCACAGCGTCGAGCGCGTCTCTGTACCGAAATTGCGGGAAAGGCGTGGGTGTGCGTTATGCAACCCAGGCACTTCAGGCCGCCTCCACCGGGGATGATAACGCAGTCGGGAGCATGGGAGGGATGAGAAATCCTTGGTGTGACGCTGATATGTGAAGTCGAGTGTTCCGCGATCGTGACGATATGGAAAGCAGGGAAGTGGCTGCATTGTGTGTCATTGTCACCAGCTGCAGAGCCGATCCGGCGAGAATTTCGGCAACCTGACACCAATACTGCAGCACAATACTGCATCTCGACTACAAGGGCCATTATTGTTTCACCACACGTGATCAGGTACAATCTCGCATTATGAAGATACAAGATATGGTTTACGAGGGCGAAATCGCAATTCGCGCGGGATGCACGACTTGATGCAAAACTGTGTTGTATTCAGAAGAAGGGCTATTTACAGAAAGCCCAAAGATGAAGTGTGCACAGTTGGCCTTAGGCATCATGCACGTGATACACACACACACACACTCCAAGTCACCCCCTTATCGCGTGCATACCAAAGAAACCGCTAAAGCAAAGGGGTATTAGGTGTAGAAACAACTAGACTACTTTTAGGCTAATTAAACAAACAAATAATATATCGCCGACCTAGGACTAATACTACTCCTAGGGTATTATTAGTAAACTATCTATTTAGTACTTAGTAGCAGGCTAAGCGGCGCTCTTAATCGCAGCCTTACAATCTACTAAGTTCAACTATTAAATAAAGCGACTATGCTTAAGCTTATTAAGCGGCTTAGTAAAGCTATTAGCGATCTAGTCGTACGTACTAATTTAGGTAACCGCGATAGTACTATTAGCGATCTTCTCGCGGATATAGTAGACTCTAGCGTCTATATACTTAGTATAGCTATCGATACTCGTCGACTAAGTAATAGCGATTACTAACTAATTATCCTTATATAGCGTAATAGGCTTAATAGTGCCCTTATAACTAATTTCCTCTAACAACCGAGCTAGTATAATAGCCTCCTTCGTACTAGTAGTTAACTAAACATACTCGGCTTCTATAGACGATAGTGTAATAAGCGTCTAGCGGCTAGACTTATATAATAGAGGTCCGCTAGCAATAGTAAAGTAGAAGCCTTCTATAGAGCGACGAGTAATCGGATTATTAGCCTAGGAAGCGTTATAGTACCTAACAAAATTGAGCTCGTTATTCTATATTCCTCGGAAGTATAAGCTACGGCTAAGAGTACTAACTAGGTACTTAATAAGCTAAAGAAGCGCGGTATAGTGCTCCTTAGTCGGGTTAGAAATATATCGTAATAGTAGGCCTATAGTATAGTAAGCATTAGGTCGTATAATTATAGCTAGCTATAGTGCTTTACTAATACCTTCTTAATACTAAGTCTTAAAGGCAGCGCTAGTAGTATAGCCCTTAGGTATACGCTAAATCGATGTCTTAACGTATCGAGGTACTATTAGTATAGTAGGAGCTACTCGGCCCTATATACTATACTTCTTACTTAGCCTATTTAAATAGGCATCTTAAACAACGTAAATAGTACGCCGCTAATATTAGGACTAAAGAGGTTATACGTAATTAGTATGTAACCGGGCTCGAGTAAAGCTAGGGTCTTAATGCCTTAGGCAGGGCTTAGCGCTTAGTAATAGGCTAACTTGCCTACCTTCCTCCCTCTCCTTCTAGCTTCTTATCGAATACTACTTGTACCTACTACTACCCTATCTACCTACTAACATAACCCTTCTTATATAGTATTCGATCTACCCTTTAAGGGCAGTAGCTAGATAGTCCTTATTTCAAGCTTTTAGCGGTATAGCTACGAAAACTATCGATTTAACTATATTACGCCTAAAGAACGGGACCTACACGTACTATTCTATCGAAACAACCGTACTAATTATTAAGCAAGGCCTCCTATACGGCCTATTATACTAAGTTAAGCATACTAGGCCGATATCTACTAATTCCGCTATATCCGTACCTTAAGGGCTAACAATATATTATTAGTATCGCCCCTTATAATAGCCGGTTTATTACGAAACAACAACCGTGCTGCCGCTAGTAGCGCTAGTAACGACAACGCTAGTAGCACAGTGCCTACTAAAGTGCCTACTAAAGCACCTACTAAAGAGCCTACTGCTAGAGAGCCTGCTACTAAAGAGCCTACTACTAGGCCTACCGAAGAACCTATAGTCCTAGGTAATAATCTAGAATTGCCTATTAACGACATTCTTAGCAATATTGTTAACCGTTGATATAGCTAACTAGCCTTTAGCCCCTAGCTAGTAGCGAGACTTTAAGAAGCTACCTAAAACAGGCTCGCTGCTCTACGTTAAGAATAATAGCTAAAGGATAATCTCCTCGAGATTCGCCGCCTATAGGAAGCCCTAACAACTACTGCTAGACTAGAACTAGTAGTAGGACCTTCTATTTAAAAGAAGGATGCAAAACTTAAGGACTGCACCGTATTTAATAGCTCTAGCCGGAAGCAGTATAACGACTACATTCGTAACTGTAAGCTTAACTAGCGCAACGTACTAAGAGCGCTACTAGACGACTACTCCTTAGTCGTATACGCTATACAGTACATTAATAGCGACCCTAAGCGTATATAGGATAACTATTTTAATTCCCTTTACGACTAGACCGCTATTTAATAGCAAGACTACAAGACTATTATACTAAACACCCTTAGAAACCCTATACTAAGGCAATAACACGCCTAGGACTAGTACCTTCGAGCTAAACAAAAGACTAATCAATCGGCTCGCTTATTTAAGGCCTATTTAAAGACCCTCGAAGACGACCTCCCGACTAAAACTAATTCTATCTAGATCTCCGAAATACGCCCTAAATTGAGATAGGAATTAGTCCTTAAATTAGACCGCCGCCGTGTGTTTAAACAGGCCAATCTTATATGTATTCAATTTATAGTTAAAGTCGAAACTATAGAGCGTATAGTATAGCTATAGCAACGGTTAGAATCTAAGATACGACTACCTACCAACCGTAGTAGCCGCGGTAGAAACTAAGGAAGCACTCCCTAAACTAATACTGCTAATAATAGAAACAGTAACGACTAACGTAGAAGAGGCAGGGGCCGATACTACGGTAGAAACCCCTAGCAAGGAAGAGGGCAAGGAAGAGGTTTATTTCTATATACCCCTAATCGTTCCTCTAGTTCTAGCGCTAATCCGAGTAGATATAGCAACAATCTCCTAACTAGGTTGAAGTGCTTTAACTATAATAGCACTACTTATTTACTAGGCTAATATAATAGACCTCGAGACTAGGCCCGAGTCGACCGTACTACCGCTAAGTACTAAAAGCACCTCTTAGCAGCTAACGCTACCTCTATAGGCTAACCTTCGAAAAAAGAGTAAGCGCCGTACTAACTATTAGCCTTGTATAGCGTAAGACTATCGACATTGTGCTAGCTATTATACGTACCTATCTTATATCTAGGCACGATACTAACTATAAAGTAAAGGTTATACTAGACCCCGGAAATTTAGTTAGCGCCCTTATTAACTATCGCTTAGCTAAGCAATTAGACCTCCGACAATTGCCTAGGACTAACATGCTAGTCCTTGCTTAGTTTAATAACGCTCGGCACTTAACCTATAGGGCCTACTATATTCCTATAGTTCTAAAAGACGACCTCGGAAATAAACGCCTACTAAACTTTACTGCCTACGCAGTAGATATAAACAGCCTCCTATCCGACATTGTTATTAGCAACCCTATTCTTAAGTACTATATATAAGAAGGGTTATATTAGCAGGTAGATAGGGTAGTAGTAGGTATAGGTAGTATTCGATAGAGATCTAAGAGGAGAGGGAGGAAGGTAGGCTAGTTAGCCTAACGCTAAGCGCTAAGCCCTGCCTAAGGCACTAAGACCCTAGCTTTACTCGGCCTAATTACATACTAATTACGTATAGCCTCTTTAGCTCTAATACACGCTTCCCTTCTAAAGGCCGCGCCCTCGTAGCCTGTCTATATTCTAACCTCGATCTCTATTGCTACTAACTTAGTAGGTCTAATAAGCCGCTTAGTCCGCGCTAAATTAAACGTATAACTACCGATTATATAACTATATTAAACCTTACCTCTAATACAATATAATGTCTAACTCTAACTACGCTATCCTTATATATAATAAGGTAAAGGGATATAAGGCTATAAGAATTAAGGACTATCGACTAATTACAATACGAGCGCACCTTCCCTACTATAATAGGTAGGTATACGGGGTATTGTAGCACTGCCTCCGCTCTAAGTAATGTCGTTCCGAGTTCTTTGCGTCTACTCTAAAAGACCTAGCAATATCCGCTTCCGAGGGTTTGTCCGCTTCCGAGGGTTATTATTCTTATTGTTACGAGGGCCGTTATTTACTATCGTAGTTTTACTAGCCCTAATTAGTTAGGTTTAGTAGCCTTTAAGTGTTAATCTTATCTTATCTTTTTAAAAAACACAGTTCTCCGGTTTCTATAGGTAAAGGCTATTATAAGTATAGTAGTTAAGGTTCGCCTCGCTTAAAGGGTTAGATAGATCGAGGAGTAACCTATTGTCCGCAAGATCGACCCCGGCTAACTTAGCTCTATAGTTTTGCCCTTAGTTAGCTAGTCTATTAGTTGCTTAATCTTTTAAGCGGCTTAAAGTTTTAATTAAAGTTTTGATTAAACCTTTAATATAGCTATTCTTTTAACTTAGCCGGTAGGGTACGCTCTAGCTCGTAGTATAGGTAAGGTTGTGTCTGCAGGCGCAGCGACAATAGCAAGTAATGTTAATAATAGCGGCGCTAGTCGTCTTAGCGCTAACTTTACCTTCTTCTAGTTTCCTTCTTTAACTAATAACAACTCGGCAACACCGTTACTAACATAGCTGTGTCCTTCCTTTCTTAAACAGCAACACACTCCGTAACACTGTTACTAACATAGCCGCGCCGGCCGCGCCGATTGCCTAGGCCTCGATAGAATAAAGGAATAAGAGGAGGACTTAAGTACTAGGAGAAGGGCCTCGTAGGGCGCGTTAGTAGAGAGGTAGTTTCCTAAAAGAGCAGCGAATAGTTAACGCGTTATAGCGCGCTTGTTAACACTCGGTGCGCGTTTACTATAGT